AAATTAATTATTTCCAGCTATTAAAAACTGCCAATTGCAGCAGAAGTGCTATCCATGAGATGCAGAGTATGTTTTATGTGTCCACACCAGGGATATATTTAAAAGTTGTCCCTGCCAATCTTGTGAAGATGATATGTCAGGAGCACCTGTTGTAAATTTCTTCAAATTGGGCACAAATGTCCACTTGGATTCAAAGATGACCTGATTAGATTTTGTAGGTCAAAGGTCACTGTGACCTCAAAATGACCTTGACAAACACGTTTTTGATCATAACCCAAGAATTGATATGGTTATTATGAAAAAATGTCAAACAGATGTTTAATGGGATACAACGATGAAGTGATTACATTTTTATCCAAAAGGTCAAAGGTCAACTTCACTGTGACATCATAATGTCCTGGAAAAACAATTGTGTCTATTATTCGTACTATAATTAAGAAGGGGAGACTGGGACCATATTTCAGTTAGTCACACACTGAATTGTTGAAATCTTTTACTCCAATGTCAAAGGTCATTCTGACCTCAAAATAAGTGTTTAGCAATAATTTAAGAATGGACTGGACAATTCCAGATTTCACACATGTCGACTCAGGGGACACAATGAGTAAACAATAATAGCACAGTGCAGGCTTTTGCCTTTCCATTTCATCCATTCACTCGTTCTGTATTTTGAGTGTTGCATCTAAACATGACAGGAGAAAACAAAAGCACATTTAGTATACTTATACTCTATAAGAATCCATCTTTACATCGTAATCAAGTACATGCGTAATATATGTTTACTGAAATCATACATGCCAATGATAAGTGAACTTCCATTTAGCCAAAAACACACTTTATACCTTGTTGTTCTATCCTTTCCAAATATTCACTGTATACATTCAAGGATTCAAGGTTATTTTATTGTCATTTACAACTTAAGGTTGTAGAATGATATTTAGATATAGTTCCCTTTATGCCAATTTAAATAATAAAAAATAATAAAAAAAACTGGTAATAAATAAAAAATAAAGCTGTCTTTAAGTCTGGTGGTACGGCAGCAGAAGCTTCTGTATCTCTTCCCAGATGGCAGCAGGGCGAACAGGCTGTGGCTGGTTTGGGTACTGTATTATATGAGTCTAGACAGACATGGATGTAAACTGCAACTTGACTGGTTGGCGGAGGCGTACAGCCGCATAGTGGCAGACTTAGGCTGTTTGAGTAGCAAAAAAATAAAAAGAGCACCAGCGTGCAGAAAGATGCATTTAAAGAGCTTAGTCAGGGTAAGCATTAGCACCTACAGGCCATGTTTTCTCCACTGGAATGTCGCTCTAGAGGGCACTTTATCGCGTTTTTCTTGTCTGCAGGGTGGTAACTCTAGTGTCCTTGTATTCTAGGCTCATGTATTCAGGCAGCTGATAACCAGTTGTTAGTACTCTCTCGTTTCTGCGTCAGAAAATTAAAGTGACTGCAGCTCGCACCCTGGATGCAAGTCCGCTCAAAATGTAATTTGTAACGGCTATATCAAACATTTGGATCCATGCCTGGCAAATTAAATATGTTGGTCTTGCCGATGAGGCCGGCACCTGTTCGGCCAATCAACACCAAGACTAATTCTCTGTGAATGTAATTAAAACGGGACCAGTGACGCAACACTTACATCAGCCTGTAATTTGACCTTTACTTCGACCATCACACCAAATCAGCGTAATGTATGGAGGGATGTAAAACTTTATTAATAGTGTGTGACACAAGATGACAAAAAATGACCTTTTATTTCATTGCGGCCCCCCACTAGGTCAGGCCTCCAATTTAGTTAGCATGGTTGGATGAGAGGATGTAAGACTTCATTTTGTCGCCCCCATTAGGCTTAAAATGTCATTATTATTATCATTATTCTTTTGAGTCAGCTGACATTCCACATTTAGAATAAGGACCAAAGAAGTACCCTAGACAAACAAACTGGTAGTGCATACTAAAGGCTCAAATTGACTGGTGTTAAACTAAAATGAGCATCTTTCATAAGCTTTGGTTCTCTGCAGTTGTCTTTTCCACCTATACTCAGATACACAGGCACATTTAACTAGACACTAGACAAACTAGACAAATGCACACTCTCAAATGTCACTTTCAAGTATTCATCTCCTGCTCAGTTTAACATTTCACTGCGATTATGAACAAAAGCTTTCCCAGACGCTGCCGACGCTCCTGGCTCTGTCGCCACCCGTCATCTCTGTGAGAGAGAAGACAATTGGAGCTGAACTGCAGTGGGGGGGAGCAGAAGTGTGAGTGATGTGAAAAAGATAGAGAGACAGACGGAGCATGTGAAGAGCCCATCATGCCAAATAAAGTAGAAGCACAGATGGGGAGGGGGGGATCAAGAAGTGAAGACTGTAGTGCAGCAGGATGTGGAGCTGGCTTGAGGTTCAGAGGAGGTAGTAGAGGGCCATGTCCAATAACTGCTGCTGCTCACATGGCATGCTCCAAGCTCATGCGCTCCTTACCTCTCCCACCCTTCCTTCTCGCTTTTCTCACCCCGCCCCTCCGTTTCTCCTCAATCAACCCATGCCAGTGTGCAGCCACCCCCACACTGTGTCCCTTTTCAATTCCATCTCTGTCACCTTTCTTTCCCTTGTTTCCATCGTCTTCTCACCCTCCCTCTCCTCAGTCCTCCTTCACACTCCATCACCCATGTTAGGTCCCTGCTCGCCCTTACCCTGCCCTGCCTTCCTCCATCTTGCCATCATTCCCTCTTTGTTCTTCTTTTTCCAGCCCCGTCTTTCTTTTCCAACCCCAAAGCAGCCTTTAGTTCCTCATATTGCAGGGGGTGTTGCCTGTCAAATGCCTCACTAATTAATGTTTCCCCTATAGAATATCACACATTTGCATTTTATTTGACATCATGCTGAGTGTTCTGTTAATAATATTTATGGATATACTGTATGTTTATATACTGTGGAAGAATAAAGAGGAATGGCAAATAATAATCTTCAACATTGTCTCTCCCACTGGTTTAGTTGTTCTGTTAAACGTGGACAGAGTGCTTCGCTGCATTGCATTTACTGACAAAACTCCCCTCCTCACCAGGGCTTTCAAAAAATAATCCTCTAAACACGATTACCTTTAAAGAAATATTGGCTGGTGTCCATATTTTCTTCTTCAGAAAAATAATCATCTGACGATTCTGCAATGGATTTATTTGACTGAGAATGACTAAAGGAAAGCCAGAAGAAAACATGGCTCTTACTGCAATGACGCATTAAAAGTTAGAGGAACTTGAAACTGTTATGCCACAAGTTAGGAATATTCCAGCAATCTAGTATTGAACTCCCATAAGGTTGAAGGACTCACAAGAGACCAGTTAAAAGAAGAAATAATTGAAGAAGTAGAGGCTGATATGTCCTTGTTAGTCACTAATACGCTAATCTTTATAAACAGATGCATGTGAATTCATAATCTGTAGGCAAGGGACCAAGATTTTGGCATCAGAAGCATTCTGGTTTCCATTTGTAGTCCGAATAAAATTGACCAATCAGGCTTGAGTGGACTTTGGTTGCCTGCAGGAAAACGGTTCCTGTGGAGAGCAAAAGAGGCGGAACGCACTTGCTAAAATGAAATCTTAGAACCCATCGGGTAGCGTCTGAAGATGATTTAGCTTTTTATTAGCCTTTTTGTTTTTTTATTTATCGCCATCAGACAATAGTCTATGGTTTCTGAGATTGCTAATGAGGTGATATATCCAATAAAGCAACTTGACAGTGTCTCAGTACATCTGATATTTCATCTTTTTTCAAATTGTATTTTATTGCCACTTCAACTCATTTCAGTATTTCAACACAAACTCTTGAGAGTTTCAGTTTCAGCTTCAGTTTGATATCATGTTTATGTTAGCCATATTCTGTTTGTAGGGTTAGTATTGACATATTGTTCCCATCAGTGTCATTTTCAATTGTCTTGAAACCTGTGTTGGTGTTTGCTAGGAGCACTTTTGTAACAAGGAAATATGCCAATTTAAAAGTTGTTATTTTTGTAATTTCACGTACAAAAAACTGTAGCTGTCATTTCTGTAGGCACCAATTTTCCTCCCCATCTTTTTGTCTGTGGCTTGGTTTGTAACATTTAGGAGGATCTATTGGCAGAAATAGAACTCTACAGAGTGAACCGCCTTGTTTCACTTAGAAGATGAGCTGTATTCAATTGGTTGCAATATTCAACTAGACCACTAGATGACAGTAAATCCCACATACTGGTCCTTTAAGGGCTGTATTTTTCAGACCCAGGTACAATTTTAATACTAACACTATTCAGCTTTGCTTTGTGTTCTTAGTCAAAAATGAAGTCACACTGTAATTTTTTAAAGTAATTTAAATTAATATTTAATTAATAATTAATACATATAATAATAAAAGAAAACTGGCAGCTGTGGTTGCTAGGACCATACCGTAATAAATATGGTAAAAACAAAATTCTACTATTACGGTAAAAGGATTAGTACTGTGATTTTAAGTTTTGATCCATATTTTACCGTATGAATACGTTTTTACCAGCAAAATAAATGGTTTTGTCATATGCAAAAAACATATGAATGCTATGAGGGTGGTTTTCTGTGCAACTTACAGTCTGTTATATAAAAAAAGACTTTATTCCATATACATACCTTTAAATGCTGCATATATAAAGGTTTTGCCATGAGATATCACTGTACAGTTACAGAAACCTCAACCTATTTAGAGTTTCTGGTCTTTTACTGTCATTCACTGTAAAATCCACAGACATTTTATACATTGCACACTAAATTACCCAGTTCATTAAACACACAGTCCAACACATTACCACCTGTCTTTGTTGAAATATCTCTGCAGGCACAGAGTTTATCCAACTTTATTGGTTCCTCAGGTTACTGTTAGTGAAAATATACTCACTCTGAATTACTGCTTCAAAGACATAAATAAGTCTATGTATATTTCTGCATTTGTGGGCATTTGTCTTAGCTCTGTCTCTATGTTGGTGCACCTCCCCAGGTAAAGGAGACCTGATTGGTTCAGACTCCCTGACGAAGGAGCAGGTGATCAAGACCAACGCCAACGTCAAGGCCCTGACCTACTGCGACCTGCAGTACATCAGCCTCAAGGGCCTCCGTGAAGTCCTGCGACTCTACCCCGAGTACGCCCAGAAGTTCATCAGCGAGATACAGCATGACCTCACGTACAATCTGCGAGAGGGCCACGGGGCTGATGTGAGTACACACAGTAATGTAGACCAGTCGTTCCCAGCCTTTCTCCTTAAGGTACTCTAAGCTGACGACTCCTGAATAAGTGACATGTTTTATGGAGTTTGAGTGAAACAAGAATTTGGATGAATTTTGAGCAGATTATTTTCTGTGAAAATGTATCAGAGATGAGTTAGTAGCGTCTAATACAATTCTCCTCCTGTATTGTGTTTTTTTTAAATATTTTTAACAATCATATATACTTAATGGGCTTCTTTTTGGACAAATTCAGTATTTTCTTCACCTTGCCATTTAGCCATTGTTCTGTTATCTGCAACTGAAGGCTCTATGCATATAGCTTGTGTGCATAAATTCCATACGTACATTTTAAAACAATTTAATTTAGATTTCTTCACATAATTGAACCAAATGCTTTAAAGATATAGCCCTACTAAATTTAAAAAAAATTCTACATGAAGCTTTGGTGACCCCTAGTGGCGGTCCCGATCCGCAGGTTGGGAACCACTGGAGTAGAGTGCTAAAGGAGAGAGAGTTGTGAATGAATTGTTTGTGCTTTTACATGTTTATATATTTGCAAACCCTGCAATTGCCCCTCAAGGTAGGGGTTCTAAAACGTTTTCATGTCACGGACCCACAGTTAGACTGACCCCATGTGGGCCACAGGCTAATGGGGTTGTTGGATTTTCTCAAACGTTGTGTCAGAAAGTGAAAATTAGATGACGAAGGCCAACTTTTAACAAAAGATTTCAGCTTTATTTAGAAAATCTGTCTTCATATAAATATCAACCTGACCTGAAAATGGTCCAGTAAACGGTTAGAGAAAGGTATGCATGTGGCATTAAGACTGTGTGTAGCTGGTGTATATTTATAAATAAATGTAGATATAATATTGCACAACTACGGTGGTGTTATGGTGCCACCATGACAAAAAGAATATTCTCTCAGTTTATCCTTATAACGAGAAATCTTTTCAAATTCTATTTTGTTATGTTAATTTGTTATTATGACATATTTTCTTGTTATTACCAGGCACCAAATTATTACATTTTTCCTAGAAACATTTCTTGTCAGAAATGCTGTTGTATACAGCGCACCAGATCGGTCACAGCACTCCATGTGCAGCAGTGAAAAGTGCAGATTGTAGATTACATATAATTCTAATGGGTAGCCTCCGTAAGGAAGGGCTCATGGATAAAAGGTATGCATGACCTCTCCACCACTGCTTAAAAATTCACAAACGGGTCTGTGCACACATCACAACTCGACGAGCCAGGCCTTGAAGTGCTTTTTCTTAACTACTGCCATCGAACACACAAACACACAGCCTTTGCCTTTGGCTGGTGCAGCAGCAGCAGAGGGAGCAAAACATAAGGACAAGAATAGCTTAGTGCTGCTGTTTGAAGCTGTCCTGTTGCTAAAAATAGTGCAGGGGGGAAGCACGGGCTGTCCCTGACTGGCTGAGTCCCCCGCAGCTGCTGCTAAGATTGGATCCTGCTCGATATAAATAGCCCAGCCAGCCGAGGAGAAGAGAGGAGGAGGAGGAGGAGGAGGAGGAGAGACGAAGGGGAGGAGAGGGGGGGGACTCATCTCATTTTCTGTTTCACTCTTCCTCAAGTCCTCCTTTCCCACTGCAGAGCTGTTTGTTTCTCCGAGGCACTTACTGCAGAGCACGAGTGGGTATGCAAATGTGCAAACGTGTGCACATACCAGTGTGTGTCTGCAGCAGTACCTAGAGGATGCACAAGCTGCTGCCCATATCTTAGGTCAGGGTTGCAGATGTCCTTCCTGGTTATGTATGCAAAACCCCTCTGAAACTAGGAGCCCAGGAGAGTGTGTTTGCATATGTATGTATGAAAAGACTGCTGGTATCTAGCACCTCCTAGCTCAGTAAACATATGCTTAAAGAGGTGCTCTGATAGGATGAATAATGATATGATCAGCAACAGAAAAACATTTCGGCCAGTGTAGAAGATACAAAAAGGATGAAAAAGAGGGAGGGGGAACATGTTTTTAATGTTTTTTACCAGGCAAGGAAGAAGGCAGAAGATTTGGTCAGATAAAGATGAGAAAGAAAAAGATCCATCATCTAAATGGTGGTTGCATTCTCAGTGTCCCTCTCTGCTGATTCACAGGCTGCAGACTGACTGTCATGATCCGACGCCTTGGGCTAAACAATGCTATGTGCAAGAGCAACCAGTCGACTGGGCGCACTGAGCTGCTGCGGGAAGAGGGGGATATTACAGTGTGATTTGTACCCTGTGTCCAGTCTCTGCACCACAAACATGACTGGAAGAGCAACAATATTGCCTGTAACTGCACATACTGTACAAACACAAACCGCTCGCATACCCTGCACCAAAATGAGAAAAAGAGCACTTGTTATCTTATCCTTTGCAAGCACACACACAGCTTGCATAAACCGGCACTCAGATGTCTGCATACAGCCCGGCTCGATCACACATACATGACACACATGCAAACTTCAGCACACCCACACAATCACACACAGGCGCACGCCGAGACGCAGCAAGTGCACACTTATCACGCCCCCGCATCGCAGAGCCCTCCTTGGTTTCCTTCAGGGCTGGGAGCTAAGATTAGAACAAGAAAGCTAAAAATACATTACGGTAGCACATGGGGGGAGGGGGTATAGAGGAGGGGGGTGCCTGAGGGGAGGGCAATGGGGAGGAAGATTTAAAAAAAAGAGAGAGTATGCTGTGCAGGCAGGGGCTGAGGGGAATGAGAAACTTGATTAAAGGGAGAGGAGAGGGAGTGAGGCTGAGAGAGCGGGGGAAAGGCAGAGTGGAGGGGCGTTGGCTTGTCTGCACGGTGAGGTATACAATACAGTCATTTGTCACTGCAGCAGTGTATGTTAGGGCATGAGTGATGGTATTAAGAAGCTGGAAGAGGAGAATGTGCAGTCATCACTTAAGTAGATGTAATGAATTACTTTGATGGTGTAAGTGAAGTCAGACCCAGTTTCAGTGTATTTTAAACACAGTGCATCTGGAGGAAGACTCACTCTTATTTTTCTATCATTTGAAACTTAGTCCCCCTCCAGTCAGAAACCAGTGTTTGTCCTTGTTCCTACAGCGTGCTGTTTGAATGCTGTCTGTGCAGAGTTTGACACTAGAAGGATGTTTTCACATTCATCTGCTGAAAGTGGAAAGTTTCTCTGAGCTCACTGAAAATCAGATTTTAAGGGGTGGGGCCTAACAGCAGGATTTGTGACATCACAAATAGTTTTGGAAGTCAGTCCTGGTCCAGTATCAACTTGTACAGTGTGATGTAGAAACTTGAAGCCACCAGTGCACATCCACTGAGAATGGACTTTACAGTGAAGTAGGAGACAACTTGTGTCCAGCAGGGAAACTTTAGAATACTATAATACTATATATATATAATAATAATACTTTAGAATTTAGATACTTTATAAGGGTGTAAATTATACTTTTTTTGCAGAAAATTGTATTGTTACAAGCAGACTATTTGTATATATGTCTAAATAAATGTCTGGAGGGGGTCCTTAAATATGAAATACAAACAACTGATCCATGAGGCTGAAGCCACTGTTGAGGATCCCAGGTTACTGTATTCTTTATTACATATTACACATTACAATCCTGGCAGTGTGATAGACCATTATAGAGAGATACAGTTCTTCTACTAAATTATTAAAAAAATATACATGGAGAGTTACATGATCAAATGAAAATTCTTTAAAATGTTATATGCCATCAACCTGCCAGTGACAGCAGATGAAAAAGTCTGGCACATTTACCTGGTTGACTTAAGTCCTCATTTTAAATAATGTGCATTGTTCCTTTTTAAATAAATAAACTTCAAACTTCCAATAATCCAAATATATTACAGACTTTACTGCTTACTGCTACACGCACTAGGAGACGTTTAGGGACCAGTTCTATTAACCTAAAGTCACTCCAATACACTCATACACACCAGACATCCAGCCACGTCTCTTATGATGAATTAAAATGTCTTTTCTGCTCCTGTTTTCTCAGTAGCTTGTGCTGTTAGGGTTAGGTTAGTTCTTTTTATCACAGAACTTTTAACTCACACATGTTCTCGCTGGAGTCCTGTTTTGTTTAGCTAGTCATTTCTGGAAGTTTCAGCGACCCAGCATCGACACTGAAGTCGGCCTAAATTATTCAATCCATAAGCAGGGACATAGCTGATGGGGAACAGGGAAGAGTGTGACTGCCGGGGGAGTGTGTGTGTGTGTGTGTGTGTGTGTGTGTGCTCAGGAGAAAGTGATGAGGAAAAGACAGACGCAGCAGTCTGTATTAAATGTAGCATGACAGGCTTCTTTTTGCAGTCTGGCAAAACAATATTCACTCAAAATAAAATGAGAAATAATTGGACTTTAACTAGCTCCTATAAAATTCTCCATTTCTCTTTCTGTTTTTTCTCAAACCTAATCCCTCGAGGGTGACAGGAAAGGATTGGTACATGGCTCAGACTCTTGATGAGTGGCTGTTTAAACTTTTAGCTGCAGCTCTACTCTACAATAGTACCTGTATCAGTCCACACACAGTTAGCTCACTTTTCTCTCATTTATTTATGGACAAGTAATGTTAACTTCTCCATTTGTCAATAGACACAAACAGATTGCAGTAGCAGAAAATAAATCATACAATAATATTAGTGTTAATAATAATAAAAGATAAAGCATGAGATACAGACCGGTTTAAAAAAAACAAGGTATAGTCACAAAAATAAAGAAAATCTATCTAAATTTTCGCCTGGGTCTCGCACTTTCCTATGTAAAGGTATAAAAACAGCCTTAAGGACATGAAGAACAGAAGGCGACCTCCTCCCCCCCTCACCTCTCTTCCCTCTTTCCCCTCTTTGGATTGACTTGGTCTTATTTTTACCTCCTTCTTTCTCTTTCTTCCAATTATTTACCTTTAACCTTGAACGCTACACATTCTCTGCACACACACCTAAATGTGCAACCTCCCTATTCCAGTACCTCCTCTCAATTACTCAACCTCATCTCTAGCCTGCATTTCTTTATTCTTTTGCTTGTTTTGTTTGTGTTTATATCTATTGTATTTTTAATTATTTATTCTTATTTATTTATTTAGATGTTACCTCAGTTGCTATCATTGTTTCTCTGTTGCCTTGTCATGTCTCCTTTGTGCTCCTGTCCATATTAATCACGTATCTTGCACTATTAATTAAAAAACCAAAGAAATCATGCCATTAGGGGGAAAGTCCAATAAATTGAGATATTGGATTGTGTTGGATTTGAAGCCACTTAAACAAATACCAACTCATTATCTTCCAACTAAACATAGTATATCATTTGACAAAACTATATAAACACAACAAAGACAAAGAAACTTCAAACTTTAAGGCTTTACAAAGTTGCTTTATTATTCTTCAGCCCATGTAGTGTTTCAATATAGGGTCTGAATTCTGTTTTGTATTTGAGGTGCAAAAATGATCATTCCCGCACTAGGTTTTTACCATATCAGGCAGCTCTAATTTGTGGTTTCTTTTTGTCGTATTTTCCAAATAAAATAAAGAGGTTCAGAACAGTCTTTTACAATCAATGTTCTTCTAAAATGTTCCAGCGATGAAAGAAAAGGAGCTCAAAAGATATTAAAACAGAAATATGATCATTTATGAAGCTTGTGTCTCCATACATACTCTGTTAGAAGAGGGGGTAGAGGGGGTTGGACTGAAGCTCTATCATTCCAGTTCACTGGTAGAAAAGGTACAAAAGCTTGTGTTTGACTGCCACCCGCTGGTACAACCATGTCACTGCACTCAATTTACCAACTCGGATTTGATTTGATATCTGTCTATCTGTCTCAGGTGGACTGGGAAAGCAACGGCGGCCTGGTGAAGAAGCTTCCGTCCATCCGTGAGGACGAGGAGGGCGACGAGGAGCAGAACTCTGTGTCCCGGGCCCCTCGCTCCCCGCTGCGTCTCAGCAGGGGCCTCAACTCGCCCCTGCGCTCCCCTCTTCTGCCGCCCAGGCCGTTCCGCGCTCCCTCTGAGCACTCACGGCCAGCCACCCTGCAGATACCGGTGGTCAGCTTCAGCAGTGCGCCACCTGAGCTCAGCCCCAGGTAACACACACAGATCACACAGACATGTAGCTGAAAAGGAAGGAGCAGCTGAGTATGAACAATAATCAGAAAGATTAAGGAGGCAGTTCAGAACACAACCGTGCAGTCAGAGGAGAGACTGCACTAACAGCATAGGTGTCTGGCTGCCATGGTAACCAGTAGGATACAGTGCAGGTGCATCACATGGGTCCCGGCGGTTGGAGGGTGAATAGGTTTTCACACTGTAGCAGGATGGTGTGTGTACATGGAAAGCAAACGTGTCCGTGTGTGCACAGAGATTAATGACCCTGCCCACTGTGCAGTGGTGTGTGAGCAGAAGCTGCTGATAGAGGGAGTTTAATGTTTGAATAAAGATACTGTACAGCCAGCACAGATACATTCTGTAATTAGCACTCTTTCAGTCTTCCCCTCTGATTTACATTCCTCTCCAGCACCCTCTCGCTTTACTTTTAATCCCTCTTTTCTGCATAGGTTCGTGGACGGCATCGAAACAGAGAGCAATTCCACCTCATCGCAGAAGTTCGAGTTCAGTCCCAGCCTGTCACCTACAGCGTCCCCCTCCCCATACCCAGGTAACCACACACACACACACACACACACACACACACACACACACACACACACACACACACACACACACACACACACACACACACACACACACAGTAGTAGTGTTTGCCTCTCTCTCTCAGAAGAACAGTATTTTCTGGAGGATTAATGTTGATGTTTGTGTTGTGTGCAGGGCTCCGGGAGCACTCTGAGATCAAGCAGAGTGTGTCTAAATTGACTGAGGAGGTGAGTGCGACTCCATGTTGTTGATCATGATGTCTGTTTACACATTTAGCACAAGGCTCTAATTATCATCTCCACAAAGGAGCTTTGTTTGTTTGTCTGTCAGAATATTTCACCAACTGTAACAGCTTGCATTGCAATAAGGCCTTTTTCACATAGTAGGAGAAGCACAGGTGTAAAAAATAAAATGAATGATGGCTGAATTCCATTTAGCTGTTACAGGTCATGGTTTCCACACATTCTGAAAATGTGGAAAACCTGTATATATATTTGAAATATTCTCTTGTCCTGTACATTTTCATTGTATTTTGGCTCCACACTCAGATTCCATAAACCTGGGTGTATATTTAGTTTGAAGCTCAGCTGTTCAGAGCGGGTTTACCAGACACACAGCAGAACAGAAAAACGCTGCTTTTTCATTTCTGCTCCCATGTCAGTGTAGAGCTGTTCACCACCAACTTTTAACATCAAATCTATTTTGGAAATGCTGCAGACGGTCACATCTACAAGCATACAGACTATTATTGTTTACATTTACATTGGTTGTTGTGCTTCATAACTGTTCATTGTACATGCAACAGACACTTATACCTCTTCTTTCAGGTGAGAAGATGAATTTTCTGTAAAATAAAATAAATTCTACTTGATTTAAACTATTACTTATGGGCTCTGGCTCATTAATGTTATGGTTAGAGGAAAACAGGAGCTCTGTTCACCTGAGGCCACAGCGAAAGTGTCCAATAAATGCTGACCGCCATTGTAAGCAAGTGCTGTCCTGTATTTTCAAGAAGAACTCCTGGAAAAGGATTTGTTAAAAATAGTGGGAACCCTGAGGGCCCTTCATGCTGGCTCACTGTCACACTGTCAGGACTTACTGAGAGACTTTAATAGAACGGAGCCATTGTTAATGTTATTAGTAACACCTGTCATTGTCCTACTGTGACAAGTCAAAATGCCTATTTGGTGGAAATTTAGGTAATGGGCTTAGAATTTCTTTCTATAGTCCCATTTCTGCCTGAAAATATTATCCCTCATTCATCCAGTCTTCTCCACATTTAGCACTGCACAAGTTAAAACACTAGCTAACTAGCAAGCAAATCTATATAAATCGTTAGGAACCACACACTACGACACATAGCATATCTAATGGTTCATGTCCACAGGCTTTTTTTTGCATCTGCTTCCCGGCATTGGATGCTTGTAGTCACCAAACGCTCCACGCTCCTACAACCACGCAAACACAACGCCGACTGGCTCCAGGATTTCAGAACAGACCAGCATGGTGGCTTCTTTGAAAACTTTCTCTTATTACGAAAACCGTTCTCCCAGATGTGTTTCTGAAAACATTTTAAGCAAGATATAAACCATGCAGCTGCTAAATCTGTCGTATATTTTAGAAAGAAAAGTTAGCTTTAAATGTTCTTTACGCAGGTTTCCAGAGGCGACCAGTCACAATATCAGACGACCCTCATTTGCATAAAGTAGTATAGACCTTAACTTTCTGCAAATGAGGAGTGGGCAACGTGAAGCCCCATCTCTCAAAACACACCATGGCACTACCAAACAATGAATGAATGAATATGTGTGGGAATGACTGCTCCTGTGGGCGCAGGAGAGGAGAAAGTTGATTTTAAAACGACTTAAACATACTACAAAGAGTTTTAAACTGGTTCTGAAACAGTCTCAGAATATGATATATAATATAGTTATTCTTAATGCCTGCCACTGAAATCAATGAAACAAGCCGGTAGAGACACTACTGCTTTTGTCCAAAGGGGCTGCCAGAATCAACACAGACTGAAAGTTCTTCGTAGAGGCTTCAAGTACTCAAAATTACATCGTTTTTAATGTCAATGCATTTTTCTATTGTTTCCACAATGCATGAATTGTCATCTTTGCCTGCCATACCCATCATTACCACGACCAAGTTCAAATTAAACTGTTAAATAACTGTAAAAAATGCAGCAAGCACTTTGAAGTGGACTGACAGCGTAGTGTAGTGACAGTTTTTTTTCCTGTGACAAACAGCGTATTTTAGCGATGGAAAAACTGGCACAGCCATGTTCAAAGGTATCCCTTGGTACCCACAAGTCTCCCCTTTGCAGACATGCCCACTTTATGCTAATCCCATGCAGTTTGGGTGGTATAAATGTGTTTTATTTATATATATATATATATATATTTCCCAATGTTTTTGAATATTTCTGCAGACTGGGGTCCATAAACAGTGTTGTAATTGCATAAATTGGGAATGACTGGAAAGCTGAGACACATACTTAATGCCACCCCTGTATAAGTCGTACATTTCCAAAAAAATACTACTGAAATAAAAGTAAAGTACTTTGTTGTTGCTGGTGACAAGTCCCACTCACTTTTTCACCTAAGTTTGCATCCTGGTACAAAAACTCCTGCATAGGATTTAAGTATTCAAAATCATGGACACCATCAGCCAATCAGCATCCCAGTCTATCATCACTATGTATGTGATGTCACAGCTCCAGCTCCAGATGCAAATGAACAGACTTAGAGGGATTGTGTTCTGTGAGCACGCAGCATGTACCCTATAGTCTAAATAAATAAATAAATAAATAAATGATGCCGTATCAGACGGTGCTTTACTTCAGCCTGTCCCATCAGCCTCCTCAGCAAAAAGAAACTTTATATATGATTTGCATGGCTTTCAGCTGGTTCTCTGCTGTGTGTTTACTCTGTGTCTCTCCTCACCGTACAGATGAACGGTCTCTCCAAACAAGTGTCCAAGCTCAGTGAGGAGCTGCAGGAAATGACACGCCTGCTCAAGCCCCTCCTCCAAATAGCATCGCCACCAATCCTGACCACCATGATGCCAAATCTGACCCCACCCCCAAGCAGTGCCAGCCAGCTCTCAACAAGCTCCTGTCTCGTGTTGCCACCCCCCGCCACATCCTGTCCCCTGCAGAGACCTGACACTCATTCCCTGTTGGACAGTGGAGACATAGAGGGTGTGGATTTGCCAGGATGCCTTCTCCCGACTACTCATTCACCAAAAGGCCTAATTCATCATCTCCAGCATCGCCACAGACCCCGCCGGGGGGCAACTTCAAGGCCCACGCCCGGTCCAACCTCCCGTCACCCGAGGAAGGACTTGCTGAGGGATCCCCGGTCCTCCAAAGCCTCCACGCATCCTCCAGCAACGGGATATTTTTGCCCTCGCTGCAGGACCAGCCCCCCCTGGCCTCTCACACCCCTTCACCTTCCCTCTCATTCTCCATGTCCCTCTCCTCCTCGCCGTCCCTCTCCCCCTGCCAGGGCCCCCACCCGTCCCGACCCAGCAGCTGTGCCAGCAGAGGCCTGCTTCCCCCGCCTCCCTCCCAGGACACCCCTCCTCCTCCGTCCTCCCACTGCTCCGCTCCCCCGTCGCTCACGTCCTCCCCCAGAGACCTTCAGCTGAGGCCTTCCCCTTCCGTCCCCCTTGTGTCCCCAGCAGTCACTCTCCACCCCTCCACCCACTCCCTGCCCTTGTCTCTGGACTTTTTTAGTGCACGCAGAGGGCAGGGAGACACCCACACTCCACCTTGGTGTAAGTCGCAGCTGCGCTACCGGGAGGCCAGACCCGTCTCTCACCCCCAGGAGCTGGAGATGCAGGAGTGGGGAAGGCAGGTGGACGAGGGGAAGACCTCTACAGAGCACATCAGCTTCATCGATGAAGAGGAGCCAGCGTTATGAAGAAGGGATGACAGAGTAGCAGAGAACGAAAGAGACGGAAAAACAAGACCAGATCAGGGATAGTGACTGCTGGATTACAGAATGATAACCAATGGGAAACCAGTTCACACAGGAAGTGATTTGTCAGGCAGGAAATGCTAAAAGGACAGACAGGTACAGAAACACAACGCCAGCTGTCAATACATCAGTGTGAAGCAGTACTTTCCTTCACACAACTACAACAGCACAAATTGTCTTACAGTCTGAACACTTCAGTAGCATCAGTTGCTCCCTGCAGCTGGCACACACAACCGGCTCCATAGATCTCTCCAGCTAACCAAACACACAATATTGCTTTTAAACCCAGCTACGGATGTCTCCTCCTCTTTAAAGGGCAGGTACAAGCACACACATATCTCAGCGGGAAACATGTCTTTACCCACGCCAGATAATCCGAGCCACCGCACTGGGGCCGGGAATGTAAACTGTCTCAGTGACATCAGGGTCACCTCACCTGGAAAGCCAGTTTGCGTCATCAATGAGGATTATTTTTTAAAGAGATACGGTTATCTGCCTCTGGGCTGGTGGGAGGTAAACACTCAGCTGACATCCAACCATCTCTTCACATACACGGCCATCACCCGCGTTCACAAAAAAACCCTTTGAATTTGTTTAAACTTCCAACAGAAATGTCCACATTGTCTCTTTGAAGTGCACAGTCTAGTCAGCAGATGTAAAGGAGCAGAAAGGCTTCTGTTTGAGTGTGGACCTAATGGTACGTGTCCACAAAGCACTTTTGGATGCAAGAGGTCATGCCAGTTCCCCAGTATAGGACGCTTATAGTCCTATTGACCGAGAAAAGTCATGCAAACACTTCCTGGCTGCACCTGATTGGACGAATGCTTTCTGCTCTGGCATTTCAAACAGGACCAACCGTAGGCCATATATAATAAGTGAAGCCATTGCAGAAGTTTTTTAAATCTGCATTTTCTCTAATGGCCAGCAGGGGGCAGCTTCATTGGCTGCAGAAGAAGTCTGATAGTATTGAGTTATGGAGAAGTGAGCCTACATCTCACTTGATTTCTGAGCTCAGTCAACAGTTTCCTAATGGGTTTATAGTCTCAGTCTCTAGTTTCAGTCTTCTTCCATACAGCATGATGTTCATTTAGTAAATGATGGTCCCATTTACAGTAAAATAGACCATAAAGCAGGGTATGATTTTGGGCGGGGCTATCTTTTGATTGACAGGTCATTCTCAGTGAATCTGGCCAGCTCAACGCACCAAACTCAGGTCAAACCAGGCAGTGCTGTTTAAATATGGATCCAGATTCTGTTACTGTGTTGACTATTTCTCACTTAAAATTGTTTCACAAACATATTTTAGTGTACTGTTCATCTACAATACAGTAACGTGTTCCTGCCAAACTCAAGGCTTCAAAGCTTCTCTCATATTACCAAAATGTGTTTATGAAAATATTTTAAGCAAGAAATAACCCATGCAGTTTCTGAAGCGGTCTTCATTTTAGATGGTTAGTTTGAAAGATTTTAGTGAGTCTCCAGAGGCAGTGGGTCACGCTGCTGGATGTCCCTGATTTGCATAAAGTATCCTTGATCTCAACTTGATGCAATGAGAAACAGCAACATGGTGCCCGGTCTCTCGAAACGCACCGCGGCACTACCAGAATGCATTGCACGCGATAATGATAATGACAGATCCTGTGAACACGTACCATTAACGTCAGAGCTTAGCAGTTGAGCTGTGTGCCAAAGACAAAAAGCAAGCTTTATGGAAAAAGTGGGGGGAGCAGTAATACATTACACAACACCCATATATAACTGTTCATCACCACCATGACTGTTTACAACCAGCCTATCAGATTGTACAGCAAACTCCCACATCACTCCTGAGCTTTAGCCATCCAGCCATTCGTGCCTTCTCCATATAAAGTCCGTCACCTGTTCACAGGCAAGCATTTGGATCAAAATTCACACAGAAAGCCATCAGCGTCACCTGCAGAGAACACTTGCACCTTTTATCTAAAATGTTACCAATTTATTTATTTAGGCTATTTATTTTTGTTGACGAAGGCAATGAGGAAATATATCTGGGTGATCTGACAGGAACAGGCTGGGAAGGAAGGTTTACCGTCCAACTACAGAACTGGACGCACTCCAGACTGAGTGCAACCCTCCCAGTTCTTATGTAGCACACACACACACACACACACACAAACAAAGCAGATCTCGAACACGCACACACCTCTCATCATGTCCAACCTGTCAGCTGACCACTGAGCTTTACGCCGGTACGAGACAACAGCTGAACCCTAACTACAATACCCAGGCTGCGTCACTATGGAGGTCTCAGGACTTCTGTACTTTTTGTTTTTTGCTTCGGTGAGGTGCTTTGTGCACCACGTTACTTGTAATATAGACAGTCAGATTTCTGGTTTCTATTTTCTGTAAGGGGAGCAGGGGACTGGACTCTTTCCACACTGAAATACAAGGATTCACTGAGCAGGACTCCCACTGATGTCTGCGGAGCTCTGATCCTGTGGGGTACCCTGGGGTGGGGTATAGGGTGGGCGTGGGCGGTATATTGGGTACACAAAAGGGTTTTAAATCAAATGCATGTCACAGCTTTTTTTGCATGAGGAATGTGCCTGCTTTTGAGCTGTAGAGGGCGGAGGGACAAGCTGCCCGCCCTACTGGAGGCTGCTGGTTTTCAGATGTTTTATTAAAGACTGCTGTTACATAAAAACTTTACCAGGATTACATGATGTACAACAATAAAGAAGTGTTGTTTTGTAAGATCTCAGATTCCTGTGCTGCATTGACATGTCAGTGTGCGTTTCTTTGCCACTGTATTTTCTTCTTTGTGTTTGGAAGGGGAGGGTGAGGCGAGAGAGCTGCGATCTGCAACTACACCACTAGATGCCGCCAAATCCTCTACACCGGACCTTTAATTTCAAAACTTGATACGTTCAAAATACTACAAATATTTGAATGAAAATACTTTGCTGAAATGTAATCTAGAATAAGTTCAGACTTTGCTGTAATATCTGTAGTGTGCACATACATCCATGATTAGCTACAGCTCAGAATGAAGCTGCCTCTTGCGTGAAGTGTCCGTAGTCTGACTACGGCCACCCTACGCTGCTGTGTTTTAACGTCTGTCATAATGGTGGCACTTGGAGAGCCGGATATTTTTTTGGTGGTTGTCTGACAAACACTGATGGTTATTTGTGGATACAGCCTTTGTTTGGATGAGGAAACAGAGTGGGAAACATCTTTAAAATCTTTTTTGTTCTTCAGGAAAGATAATTTTTTTCCCCTCTTCAATTTTACGTAATTTACTTTTTTATCCAGATTGTTAGAAGTTTTAGAATTGTGAAATATCAATGTTAAGTGTTAAAAACAAGTTTTTTAGCAGGGGGGTTATTTTATTATCACTGTAACTCAGTAGTAAAACGTGAGAGGCTCAAACTGGAGCTTGGCAAAATCTCCCAGTATACTGACACTGTGGATTAGACAGTGAATCCTTGTAGAAACAACAGGCCAGACAAATAAAGTTGTGATTACAACTTTATTTGTTTATTTGAGGCCGAACCCACAGTCCCACACGCTTTAATTGTAACTGTACTTGTGCTACTGTACCTTCCAAGCAGAAATAAGACGCAACACAGAGGAAATCCTTCTTCAGGTCTGCATATATTTTCAATGGTAACATTCATTCTATCAGTTTGAGTAAGGTTTGAAATGTCAGGGAACAACACTCAAGAAATATCCTGATGGGAGAAGAAATTATATTGATAGAGGGATGAAACACAATGTAGCACTTGCTTCTGCTGCTGTGGATGCACCTAGTGCCTTACCCTCCAGGGGCCAGTCTCTGATTGTTCTTCCTTTATTCCCTAACATCCCCTCTGTCCTTGCTCACTTCTCAGAACGCGTCAGAGGAATGAAACCCCCAAGCTTACACACACACACACACACACACACACACACACACACACACACACACACACACACACACACACACACACACACACACACACACACACACACACACACACACACACACACACACACACACACACACACACACACACACACACACACACACACACACACACACACACACACACACACACACACACACACACACACACAAAGAGGATAGCATGCATCCTCTCATCTCTGGTTTTGTGTGTACTCATGCCTGTTGTGTAGTAACCGGGCAGGTCAGAGTAAGCACTCTGGAACTACGTTTCCCATTGGGATCATAAGGATGTTGGACAGAAGTGACGGGCTCCAGCGCACGCAGAACCACAGGGGTGAGGAAAAAATAAATCAGGGGAATTACATTTCCTCCTCTACAGACTATAGACCATGATCACAGATACATACTCGTCTCAGACTGGATTCACCCTACTGTACCAAGAATCATGGTTCACAGAGAATGAATGAAAACAAACAGAGGGGTCAGGGGAAAATAAAAATCCAAAAATATATATTTATGTTATATTTATATATATTTATATATTTACGAGGTATGTATCCACAAAAAAGAAAACACCCAAAATTTCAAAATAGGCAGTCTGTTTTTCCAAATGTGTCCTTGCTTTGTGATGCCTTAAGGAAAACATTAATATTAATATTAATTAAAAATTTAAAAAATAAAACTGGGAAGCTTTGCTGTCCAACAGCCGTGCTCTTGTGTCAAACCTCGTAGTCCGGTTCTCTGAGAACTGAATCTCCAGCTATCGGGAGTCCAAAAGCACCGAAGTGGCGCTGGTGTCAGTCTGCTGCACTCCAAAAAAACAAAAGATCACAAATCACAAAGTCCCAAAAGAAAAAAGAATCACTTCATTGTTGAAAAAGAAAAACAAGAGAACCCCTCCTAACCGTTGATTTCCCAACAACCCACGGTCTCAGAGTCTCCACGGTGAAGTTTGAGGCGGTGGTATTGGGTGGTGGGTGGGAGGTGAAGGGAGGCCAGCCACAGGTCCAAAAAAAAAAAAAAAAGGTGTCTTTGTGCAACGAAACAAGTCTCGAGATTAAACAAAATAAGAAACAAAAGAACCGATGGCAGGTGTCCTCCCGGCGATTGTTAGTTAGGCTGGCAGTAGGGGATCTCTCTCCTCTGTAGTCATGCTAGGTACTGCTGCATCGCCGTCTTCGCCCTGACGCAGACACACAGTCAGTCCACCCCGCTCAGCAGTATCACAAGTGTTTGATGACAATGGTGTGTGTTTTATGATGAACTGTTCTTACCCACCTGTCACTGAGGTTGGGGTCTGGGGCCTGGGTGAGTTTGTGCAGGATGTCAACAAAGCCCATCTCCCTCAGCTTGTCCTGGCGCTCCTGAGAACCTGAGAACACGTTACAGCAGAGAGGGAAACGGATTCATTTTAACGTCTGCAGATATCGGCAAACACAAAGTCAATTTCAGCCCGGTGCTGAAGGAAAGGAACCAGGTCAGGTGTTCAGAATTCAAAAAAGGCCATAAATGGATTTTTTGTTTCTTTAAAAAGACCCCCTACTGTTTCTTTTGCAAAACTAGGTGCTTGAACCAGAACGGAGCCCATTCCCTGTTAGTGGAAAAGACCTCAAGTGGAGTGGGAAGCATACATTTTTTGAACCTGAGCTGTTCTGACCTTCATTGGCACAGCCAATCGGATAAATATTAATTTCAGAACTGTACAATAACAAGCCGGCCTCGTATTGAGAGCAGACAAAGAAAGACACTAACTTGGGCAGATGTCAGCACACAGACGCAGCTACCAGGTTGAACAGAAACACTGCTGCAGTGTGCTGCAAAGGAACTACGCCTTCATTTCATCAGAAATGACACAACTTCAACTTCCCTCCCCTCTGTGTCTCCATTAGTGAGTGCGTCTCTTACCGTCCTCTTCATTCCAGATAAGGTTTGAGATGCAGAAGGTGGCAGCGAGCTGCAGTTTCACATTCGAATGCCCCTGCGGGAACAGCAAAAGTCAGGAAGATTACAAGAGAGGAAAACCAGAGCAATGGCAGAGGTCACATGGTCTTACTACTGAAAAAAACCCAGCAGCGTACTCATCAGTTGGTACAACATACTGCTGCAACAATGCCAAACACTTCATCCAATACGCACAGAACAAGACTGAGCTACAGTAGATGTATTATATGTACAGTACCATGTAGTATTTGATTTTCTGGAGCATGTCGTCATTGGTCATAATGAGTTCCTTGGCTGTGTTGCCGTCGGCGATGTTGGCTAGGATGCACAGCGTCTTGACAGATAAGAAAAGTGAGTTACATCAGTGCTGATTCAGAAAACAATTGTGTCTGATGTCTTCCAGCTCTACAAAGAGCCCCGGACTAAAGCAGGACGCCTATAATCACACCCGCAGAATGCTGACACAGCTGGAGGATGAATCCTGTACCACGACCACTTGTGAGCGTGCTCACCTGTTCTTTGACCTCTATACTGTGCTCTGCTTCCAGGATGAGGGTCACAGCCTGCATGATCTGCTTCCCATGAGAACTCATGATCTGGTCAATGTGCTGGCAATATCAAGGGTGGAGAGTAAGCAGGAGAGTCAGTATGCACACGTACAGTTCTGGGTTACATACACACACTGTGAGCCTGTTGGTATTAACATGTGCTTGGGTGATCCAATCACAGGTGGACAGTTCTAAATACAACAACCACTTGCTGAGGCAGTCTGGGACGCATCTGACCGCATATATTTTGTGGTGTAAGTACTAATGCATCATGTAAGACCGCCTACATAACTGACATCCTGTAAGTGCATAGGAAACACACTGTAATGCAAATGATGTGTTTGGGCTCTTTTAGCTGCACAGACAAGCAGCAGATGTTTGTGAACCAGGTTCCAACTGATCAACTAATGACTGCAATATCCTTAAAGTTCCTTAAAGAATGTAAATTGTAAATGTGGCATTTTTGTAAAAGAGTTTGTATCTGCTGTCCCAGCGTGTTGGCTACTAGACGGCGGTACAACCTCTTCTACTGTTGTCAACTATGAGTGACTCTTGGGCAGACACACTTTTACTTTCTCTGGCAATAATGCCTTTCTTTGTCATAAGTGATGTGAAAATATCAAATATCCACACAGTTGAAAAAGTTTGAAAGTGTCCTGCTCATGAAGTTCAACTATAAAATCCCACAGTCACCACCCACCATCCAGCAGGGGTGCTGACAGCCAGCTGGAAGCCACATTTACAACACCTTCTACATTGTGTGTATTCTTTTACAATTAAGTTTATCATTTATCAAAGTCAGTCATCTCACTATGCTTGGAACACACCTACCAAGTCAGCAATATTCCTGAAATTAAATCAGGAACACCTGCACATTCAGAATGTTTCCAAAACAATGCTCAAACAGAGGCAGAGCCCATGGAAATGTTTCATTTACTGTACATTACATATTGTCTTTAATCATGCTTGTGTGTGTGTGTGTGTGTGTGTGTGTGTGTGTGTGTGTGTGTGTGTGTGTGTGTGTGTGTGTGTGTGTGTGTGTGTGTGTGTGTGTCTCACTGGGCGCGTTGACAGCAGATTGCGCAGCAAACCGAGGGTCTTCATTAGCACGTTGGTGTCGGGATCTGACAGCAGGCGGAACAACTGCTCTGTGCCCAAACACCGAACAATCTCCCCCTTCACCTTCTGATCCGCCTGGAACGCCATGTTCTAGACACAACAGTGTTTTGCAGTGCAGAGTAAAAGAAAGACAAAGAAGGAAAATATTATGCCTTTTTCGATTTTATGGTTGTCTGCAAGTGTAAAAAGTGTAAACTCTTCTTACCATCAGGGCCCAGATCCCGTTGACCCTCAGTGCGGGACTGTCACTCTGGGTCAGACTGCATAGTAATTCAATCACCCCTGACTCCAGGATGGGCTGCAGATAACAAATGGTCTCAATATAAAGTAATAAAACCAATTCTCTTTATGTTACAGGTAGCCTATGTGTGAGTGCGTGTGTGTGTGTGAGTGCGTGTGTGCGCGTGTGTTGTGTGTGTGTGTGTGTGTGTGTGTGTGTACCTCTTTGCTGGGTGAGAACTCCAGCAGTAGATTGCATAGTGTTGAGGAAGCCATAACCAGGACTTCATCTGGGGCGTTCTGCAGCAGCTACACACAACAGCACACCACCACGTTACTCATTGTGTGTTAATTTTCACATTCACACACCTGCACACATCCAGCTGAGAGACAGAGTATTTCTTCCCCTGCAGAGATGTGCTTTGCTCTATGCATTCACACAAACTCCACTGACCTTCATGAGGGGTTTCCACACAGCGTGGTCGTGGAAGCTGGTCCTCAGCTGCTGCACCGACCGCGAAAGACTATGAAGACATCTGGATGCAAAAAAAAAAAAACAGTATGAATTGTGCGTGTCCACATCCGGGGGGGGTTCTACGACATTAAATACGTCAGTTAATACCCCACCTGTGAATTTTGAAGCTTTTATGTGTCCTAAAAGAGGTGGTTACTAACAAGTGTCTAAAAGAGACTACAGTGGTTGTTGGTGACATTAAAACTCAGAGACATTTATGCTTCAAAGATTATAAACATGGTGTTCATTAGTGAAGACTATCTTACAGAACAAAACTGTATCATCTTTGTTCACCACAGAGCTAATTTCCTGTAACAATCCAAAACCCAATGGAACAATCCCATTAGCTTTTTGTCAAAGGAACCATGGCGATGCTAACCCTGCAACACACACTTTTATATTATCCCTTTTAATACAATCTAAAAACAATTATGGTCCTAAATAAGCCTAAAGTGGATGCAAAAGGATTATATTTCTGTGGAGAAACAGAAATGAATATTTTTTTTCCATGAATTAAAAGATAACCCTCTTATCTAACATCTTTTTGTGTAATTGGGACATTAAGAGGTGAGGCATTACAGCATGTCACTGTCAGTCAGTGTGTCATCATCAGGGTGGGAAGACTTCATTTCATACCTGACAGCTGCCAAACGGACTTTAATGCTGGATTCTGACAGGCCGCTAACTATTCTGTCCATCATGTTCTCTGTCTCTGTGATCTTAAGAGAAAAAACAGGAGGGGGGTGGTTTAGAATATAAACATGCATGGGCATGGTTATATATGCAAACAAAAATAGGGCCTAAGGAGAGGTCACCTTTTTGCGGATGTCCTCGTCGTTGGAGCCTAGTGAGGCGTAAAGTTTGAAAGCGGCTTGTCTCAGCTCGTGTGCGTGCTTCAGGTCATGGTCCAGCTGAAAACCACAGAGTGGACACAAAGTCAGCTGGTGCATAATGTCAACAGTTGACACAACTTTCTGATTAAAAACAAGATGATAAAATTGATAGATGAGTGAAACGTTTTAAAGGCTCAGTTCTCACTTCCTGTTATTGCATTCTTAATATATTAATAATTATACTAATTGGCATCGCTTGTTAGTTTCAGGGAAACTATGTTCACAAAGGATCATTGGGTCATAGCTGATTAACCAGACAGACCAAAGTGCTGTCTGGAAGTCTGAGCAGAACAATCTATGCTTATGAAAAATAGCCTTTAATTGGCCTTATTAAGAAAAGTGATTGGCACTAGGGATTTAAAGGTTCCACCACTTCGGTCTAGACTAAAATACCCCAGCAAATACTGGTTGGATTGCAGTGAAATTTGTACAGACGATCATGGTCCCTAGAGGATGAATCCTACTGGCTTTGGTGATCCCCTGACTTTCTGGGGTTTCCATTTGTGGTTCTAAGTGAAACTGATGCCATGGAATTTGCTATACACATTTAAGACTACCATATACAGCCATATACACCTGCCCCCTTTTTCACCTCACTAAAACAGCATCACACTAAAGGTCCTCCTCCGACCCACTGACCTACCCTCTTGATGTCAGTGATGGCAGACACGGAGCTGGGGTATTTGAAGTAGTCGGCCAGCATGGCCACCAGGTGGTCGGTGGTGCTTGCGATCCTCTGCAGCTCCACGTCGGGCTCCATCAGGTAGGCCAGCGTCTCTGCGCCCTCCACCCTCTCCTCAAGCAAATGCTCTTTACTGCACATCCGCACGAGGCACGGCAGGGTCTGGATGAAAAACAGGAAGTCAGGTGCACGTTAAATAAAGCTCCAGTGACATAATACAATAATAATAATAATAATAATAATAATAATAATTATTAGAGGTGCAGTTGCAGAGGTCACAGAAGAGCCTTACCTTTAGGACTATGCAGGTGTCATCTGTCCTGATGGCACCCGCTCGACACATGTACGTTAGACTGGTACAGAAAGAAAAGAGGTCACATTGGAGAAAAAAAAACTATACAGAAAATATAAGCATAGATTATTTATCATTAGTATTAGTTAACATGAGTTTATGTCACTCACCATTTGGCTGCTGTTAGCTGCATTTCAATGGGTTGATCCCTTTGCATCATTCTGACAAATACCTGAGAGAGCAGCTCACCATCCACCAGCACTGGAATCAGAAACACAGATAAAGTGGGGTTGAAAAGTGACGCTCAAAGGAGAGGAGAGGAGAGGAGAGGAGAGGAGAGGAGAGTTCCTCACCATTCACCAGTGTCATGGAGACCTGAGTGTTCTCATAGGCCAGGACTGAGAAACACTTTAACGCCTGCATCCGGACCTAGAGCGCCAATGAGGTTGGAAGGAGAGAATTACATGCGTATAGTGGTACTGTGTGTGAAAAGGTCCTATCATCCAATTAGCCCTTCCTAAGTCCCGCCCCATTTTGCTCTGTGCTCCAGTAACAGTTAAGCAAGCCTCGGTCCACTTTCTCCTTTCCTGTACTTAGTCATGGTATGTGCTAGCCTCGTCCACGTTGATATTTATAGATTGTTGAAAGACAAAAACAGCATACATACAGTCACATCAAAATGCTAGCTAACTAATGATTGATATAAATAAGCTAGCTAGTTAGCAAGTGCTTTGCCAAGATTAACGTTTAGATATACCTATCTAGCTAACTATTGATGTAGATTAGCCAGCTAGGTAGCTAGTGTTTTGCTAACATTAGCAAGCTAACCTAAGATGTGACTATATTTCTGTTGCTTCTATGCGTCAACCATCTACTTGCTCAACCGCTATTGGTGCACAGAGCAAAAAGGAACGGGGCTTAGGAAGGATCAACAACAGAGAGACATACCTTATAAACAGGTGAGATAAGGAGAGGGGCAATGTTCTGGATGGCACCGTGGTTAAAAAGAACCGTCTGGTGCTCTGGGGTCTGGAGAGAACAAACATCCAATCAGCAATGAATCGTGATCTGGTTACAAGCGTGCTGGACTCCACTGTGTTTGTGTGTGAACAAATACCAACAAATACCTTACAACAGTGGGAGAAGATCTGTGTGATGTACTCCTGGGTTTTCTGTGAGCGACTCAGTAGAGACATTAGATGGGGAATCACAGTGGGGTCCTAAAACAAACATACACAGAGGAATATTTAGAACTGGCCTATAATATACAAATAGAGGTACAAACTGATGTACAGCAGGCAGAACATGTACAAGACAACCTACAGTATAGAGCAGCTGCACAGGGGTGACTGGACTTATGAAGACTGTTCTGAGACACCGAAGACAAGCTTCAATGAAGATCAGGTCCGGACACAGGAGACCTGTAAGCACAAAACACAGCCGTTGTATCGGTCTGACATTGTCATCTGCACAAGTATTTGCATGCTCGAGTATGTGTGTCCCTTAACCTTGAAGAAGGGCAGGGATGATGTGACAGTCCACCAGGGACTTGATGTTGTTCTCTGTGCCCATGGCTAGGCTGCCCAGCACCACGGAACATTCCCTCCGCAGCTCCAGACTGGACGAGCTCTGCTGGAGCAGGTACAGTAACCTGGAAACAATAAAAACATACAAAAACTGAAGCAAGTTCACTGTAAAGGAGAAAAAATATATATTTTGGGGGCTTTTAATGGCTTTTTTTTGACAGGTCAGGTGAAGACAGGTCAGGGGGGTTAGCAAAGGTTGGAATCGAAACTACCCCAACCATGTTAATATGTACCACCAATGTCTGAGAGTACTTGGATAACATTTTGAAAGGTAAGAAAAAGCAAAGTAGGAATAAAGATGTGTGAAAAGTGTGCAGAGACGTACCTCGGCACAGCTCCGAGGACAATCAGATTGGCCTTCTGCTTGTTGTTTCCTATGACAGCATTCTTCATGTCACTGAAGTCAGACAAAGACACAAGATGAGGACCCTGGTTGGCAATCTACTAGAGGCAATTGTGACAAATGTACTCTGCATTCAATAACAAATGTTGAAGAGTTGGTATGGTAAGCGAATGCTTCAGATTGCAGCCTTTAACGTACAACGTAACTCCTCTCAATTTACAGTGTAATTATTTGTACTAAGTAGCAATGCAGAATATATATCAGGATATATATATATATATATATATCAGGATATGATAAATCATGAGTCAGTATAATAAAAATGTATTTTGAATGAAAATGAAAATGTTTGATTGGCTTTCATAGAACATAAAGCCTAAGTATGATTTTGATGAAAACAAGAAAACAATGAATGAACATTTGAAGAGTCAGAACCTATATTGTGCATCCTTAGTGCTAACGCTGTATGTACTATGTACATAAGAGTAAGTACAAGAGAACAAGATGTGAAGTTAGTGAATAAGGGGGTAACAATGTAGCAACTTAGAGACTTAGAATTTATACTGTAGGTATTTTTCAACTAACAGGTAGCTATTCTAATATTATCGGGTACAGTATTACCTACTCAGCAACAATATTGCATTTGTGTTTCTGGTGCATCATATAAAAAATGTCACTAAATTGGGAAGAATTACGCTGTACGTTGCAGGCCATAATCTAAAGCGTTCCACTTGCTAATGTATATTTCTGCAGGTCAGAACAATAATTGTAATATTCACACATTCTAAAAATATTAAACATACACACATCTAAGTACTGCACATTATGTTTCATGAAAGATACATTTCACCCAGTGCTGTCCTTTGTAGGGCCCGATATATCGGTGGGCCGATATTGACCTATCATAGACATATCTTATCAGTATCAGCATATATGTTAACTGATATGAAAAAAAATAAAAATGTCCCCATATATAATGCAGAAGGAAATTCTTGTGGGGATATTTTGGTTTCACTGCAAAGTTTACAATACTGTGGCAAACAGGACAGATTAAAGAGAAGAAGCAGCTCTCAGCAATCTCAACTAGAGTTGGTTCACAATATATATGTTTAATTATTTAACATCTTAAAGAACATTTAACACAAATATTCTTTATTAAAGTTATTTGTTTAAGAAAGCAGCCTATTGAGTACTTTGACATAGTCATGTCAGTGCACAATCCACATAGGAAAGATCAATTTTCATTGCAGCCACCATACTGGTAATCTGTGAATATTTCCCCTCTGAAGTCCTATATCGGTCAGGCTCTAGTCCTTTGATAATATAGGTTTAGCTAATAGTTGGGAGAGTGTTTAGAGGTTGTAAGAGGCAGTCTTCAGCCCAGCAGAGGCCATGATCTTCTGAAAAGTTATAAAGACATCAGACAGAGAGAGAATTGGAACAGAGGAGGTTCACATCAAGCATAATGCACCACATATTCTTATAGAACACAGAGTGAGCCTGTTCATTTGTATTCACTGCATTTTGTTTTCCGTGCAGAGTTTCCTCTGCTCTGCATGTGTCCCTGATGATATCAAATAGCAGGTGAGTGAGGCTAGTGGAAAAATACAGCTATAGCAGGCAGTCAGTTCAGTCAGGTGCTCTGCTAGTGGAGTGGTACAAGCCGTAACCAGAGCTAGTCTCTTCCAAAGTTAAAAATAACAATGAAATAGGCAGAGTCACCGCAGTTGAGACACAGAGTAAGAGCAAGAAATGAAGTCACATGAAGGAGTGAAATGCATCTTGAAATAGGCCGTCACATGAAAGCCTGTGTATGTAAACACACAGGGCATGCTCACTGAGAAACACCACCGTCACAAATGTTTTTCTACAGAATAATTCTATGCATGAGAGGCTCTTTTATCAGCTGCTTGAATCAATGATCTGTGAAGGACAAATTAAAAACCCCAGCTGAAGTTACTGGAAGACTGTGGGCTTTATTCCGACACAATTCAGAAAAAAAACACATGCTGATGAACTTACATGACTCCCTGCAGCACTTTCTGTGGGTCGGGGTCGAACAGTCTGTCAACATAATGGCGACTGGTGGCAGTGACTTCCTGCATGAGGACAAATATGACAGAGACATAAGTAACATAACTCACTAACATACACATTTCCCAGCTCAGACTACCTTGCTGGAAAGTTAATGACATTGTATCCCACACATACACACAAAGATCTGAGAGGCCCATCAGAGTCTGCATAGTCAGGTTGATTTCCTGACTGAGAAATAGCAGGCATATAAAATTAAACATACACATATATAAACACACAACAGCATCCATGACAGGGACCTGTAAAAACAAATGTAGCCACTGGCAGCACCAGAAAACTTTGTTAATACAAAGACACCTTTACCCAGAACTTTCCATATGACCCCAGAGGAGCAAACCTCAGCAAGCTAGCAGCATGCTGTTAGCTTCTGTTGCCCACTCGCTGCTGATATTCAGCAGTGTCTGTAGCTCCATTGACCTCTTTACAAATGTGCTTTTATATTTGAGTTTAACCCTAAAAATGTAACTTAACACATATGAGCTAGCACGATACCCAGAGGGTCTAAACCAGTGTACCTAACGTTAACGTGGGGGCGTTTCACTGTGGCTCTGCTGAGTGCTCGTTGGTCCCATTAATGCTAACTTCAGTCAGATTACACCTGGCAGCCATTGTTACCTGTAAGAACACATTACAGCACTAACTGCTGGACTGTCGACTGCTGACAGCTAATTTTAGCCAGCCGAGGCAGTCAGTGAGTTATGTTAGCTTCGCTAGCTAAACCGTATGCTAATGGTTAGCTAATGTTACTTGGACAACCTCACGTTAGCTAGCCAAGTTTGCTATTGCAGTTAGCAAGCTACAGTGGCTGAGAACAAATAATAATGGATGGTTGGAACAAAAGCTCTTCTTGTAACTCATGTCCGTCTGTTCTTTAAGCACTATTTTAAACATGTTTGGTTTTATTTTCTCCAGTGAGTGACAGCACTCTCTGTTAGCAGTTAGCTGCTAACTCATTCCGAGTGACACTGACAGGTACTACACTCGTTTCATTTGTGTTCTCCGACACCCCGACGGGGAGAGCGGACACATTAATAGCGTGCATCCCTTCACATGTGCACGATCCCGCCCATCCGGGCGTAGTCGGGAGGGAAAGCGTTCTCATCGTCAGCTACGTAGGCGGACCGCTACAGTGCTACATGTTGCAAAGCCTCTCACTTAGCTTGCAGGCTAACATAAGACATAAACCCTCCCTAGCTTAATAGCTCTTAGCTTCTTCATCTGAATGATCTAACGATATCAACCGCTCACTGCTGGAGCGCGCACACTGACAACCTGACAATGCTACTGGAAACTATGAGAGTGACACTCACAGACAGCACACTGATGCGGAGAGGGGCCTCCAACAAGCACGCCATCTCTCTTCCCCCGATCGAGCGCCCCAATCGGCGCAGCACTTTGCAGACACTCCGCCCCCCAGAGCAACTGTGAGCGGCTTTTAAAAAGTAACTGCAGCTGAATCACACCGCCCCCCTCGCTGGCGTTACAATAAAAACAGGAAACTATGTTCCTCTGTGGGTTCGGCTGTAATCACTAGCATTAGATATACAACACAACAACACTGCTAACTTGGCGAGCTGTCTGTCAGACAGTGGATTTATCAATGAGGTAAATGTTGTTTATAAATGTGACGTAGTGAGGTCTCTGTGAGTTAGATTCGACACAATAACGACCTCCATAAACCGTCTAATGGATACTACAATACACAGAGAATATCCGGTCTGTGTAACACATCCCGATATTCGCTCTGTATATACTAAATAATACGTACACTACACAGTAAAGAGCAGCACACATATTCTGATCGAATATACTGCCAGTGATCAAAAGTGGTTTGCTTAAATTTGGGACGTACTGCGCATGTGCTGTGAGCGGTGGACGCAAGGTGGGAAAATTCATTCTCTCGTGTGTCTGCTAACCTGTAACATAAACATGATTATCAGGAAAAGTTTGTAGCTTTACAGAGAGTATAACATACAGACACTCTTCAGCCTTCATTCATCTCCGTAAGTACTCAGTCTGTTAGCTCATGCTGGTGCGCCAGCTGTTGTTCACTCCTCGCTGTCGGGTCGTTTCAACACATTGAAATGAGCGTTAACGTTAGATGAAGCTAACTCCGTAGCGTAGCATTAGCTAATTCTAGCCATTACGATGCTAGTAGTGTGTTAGTGGACGTAAAGTACACAGAGCACACACACACAATCCTGCAAAAGCCTCGTGGATGCGCACATTAGTCCCACTAGTGTCGAAGCTGCTTTTGACACTACTTGTTTTCAAAGCAACGGGAAACCACCAAGAGCTCCAGAAAGACCCCAGTGCCCTAATGTCTCAGGTTATTGCCACATATTGCTGATGTCATTGTTTCAATCACTCTTATTTAAAGATGAAACATGACTCTGGGGCTTCTGTCCACACAATGAGCTAATACCACTGTACTGAACAATCTGTTTACTTGTATTCAGAGCAACTGGGTCATAAACAACAATATGTCAACTCTTCACTGACAGTACTATTGATAATGGAGTGACTATGTAATAGTCTTGTGGGTAAATGTAATGTAAAGTGTTAAAATGTCTATAAACACTAGACAGTTGTGTGTTTGTATAATCCCAAACATTTCCAACAATGTTCAGACCCAGAGAAATCTGTCATTCTGTTGTTTTATTCAGGTAACAGTGTGTTTCATTTGGTTTCCCATCAGTGAAATCATGTGCCCTAAACCCCTTCTAGTAAAGTAGGTCTATCTGCGGGTGCACAGTACTACAGAACGCGCCTACTACATGACTCAGAACTACTTGGTTAGTTTAAGGAAAAGATCATGCCTTGGGTTAAAATAAGTACATTAATCCAGGAAGTCATCTCAGGGGATGTGTTGTGTAGTAAAGTGTGTGTGTCACGTAGTCTGGGACTTCTGGGTAAATGTGGAATTTGTCTCAAACATAAGTTAAAGTAACATGAATAAAACTTTAACATTATCTCATCCATGAACAATTTCTGTGTGAGTCACAGCAGATAGATTTTCATCAGCAATGGTGGTTGTTCAACAATGAGGACAACACCTTCCATGATCCCACACTACTTCACCACATCATCAAACATCAAGTCTTCTCTGTGTTTTCAGATGTGAGAGACCTCCTAGTGGCAGAATTACATACTGTGCGTTTAAGGGCATTTCCATTGTGTTTACGTCTCCTGTGTACATTACCTGTACAAACTTGACATTTAATTGTTAAACCTACTGACTTAAAACCATTCTTTGCTCTCCTGTTATGCCTTATACTTCTTAGTGAAGGGAATTGCATCGGCAATGTTTTGAACTTTGTTTTGGTTGTATTTCTACAGATCACCAAAAGATTATTTACAGAGGAGCAGGCCTCAGCATCCCTGCGTGTGGAAGCTGAAAGCCCCTGGATGAGCACAGAATACAAACCAAGACTGTGATTTTCTCTGGGAACTCGCAGCTCACCTGTTGTGCAGCATGAAGATTGCTGTAGAAGGCTGTTGCCATGGGGAGCTGGACAAGATCTACGAGACAATCGCATACCTGGAGAAAAAGGAAGGGGTGAAAGTGGACCTGCTGCTTTGCTGTGGAGACTTCCAAGCCGTGCGGAATGAAGGAGACATGAAGTGCATGGCGGTACCAGCCAAGTACAGATCGATGCAGACCTTTTACAAGTCAGTGCTTTGGTTTATTTTTCATGTTTTAAAAAAAGTACAAGACATGAGTGAAAGCATTTAAAACTTTAATATTACACTACTCTGTGTTACAGATACTATTCTGGAGAGAAGAGGGCTCCAGTCCTGACAATCTTCATTGGAGGCAACCATGAGGCTTCCAACCACCTGCAGGAGCTGCCTTATGGAGGCTGGGTGGCGCCAAACATTTATTATCTGGGTAGGGACCAGCAGACAGTAGATGTGATTATTCTGTCTACCTGTCTATCTGTTGATTCCCAGGCCTGACGTGACCATATTTTCTACAGGTTATGCTGGTGTTATTCGCTACAAAGGCATTCGAATCGGTGGCTTGTCTGGAATCTTCAAATCACGTGACTACAGAAAGGGTCAGTTCTGTTTTTTTTCAGTATCTCAGTCAGTGTGTCTTTTAGTCATTTGATATCCCTTTCAGAAAAGGGTAAAAAACTAAATAAATAATGGTTATTTGGTCATTTCTAAAAAGTTAAATACAAGGTGCTTTACTTTTTTCCTGGTCGAAAAGGGATGATTGAAAGTTAAATTTTTTATATCTATTTTGTATAACTAATATAAAAAGTATTTATTTTCTGAGACCGGATGTGGTCAGTTAGACAAATTCACTAAATGTAGGATTCCCAGTGTTGTTTCAGCCCAGACTATTTTAGACAAAATAAGGCCCTTTTTGACCATGGAAAAAACACCTTGTACATCATTTTGAAAAATAAATTGCCACATTTTTGTTTATTTTAATACCTGTTTCTGAAAGGAGTATTGGGTGGTCCAAAGATACCCTGACCTATCTCAGTGGTTGAACTTATACACGCTCTGCAGCATGCTTACAAGAAATGTGTGCTTTTGAAGGTCACCATGAATTCCCTCCATACAATCCTGACACGCTTCGAAGTGTATACCACATCCGAAATGTTGAGGTATTCAAATTAAAACAGGTAAATATCGTAGGTTCAACTTCTTCTCTTGCACACAATTCAGAAGATTGTCCATTTATTCATCGAAACAGCATATTTTATTTAAAAATGTTTATTTCCACTAAGATCCAGATGCCCATAGACATTTTCATGAGCCACGACTGGCCTCGTGGAATCTACTACTATGGGAGTACGGGGGAGCTGTTGCGAAAGAAGAAATTTCTGCGTCAGGAAGTGGAGTCCAACACTCTGGGAAGTCCTGCTGCTGAGGAGCTGCTAGCTCACCTCCAGCCCAGCTACTGGTTCTCTGCACATCTTCATGTGAAATTTGCTGCCGTTATGCAGCATCCGGTGAGCGTGACTGCCCATACAGCTGCTGCTGCTGCTGCTGATACATTTTAGATTGTGATTTTAATAACTCTGAGCACCAACCTAATATACCAATTCGCTTGTCTTTAGCCTAAAGGTAACGCCCCCCCACGTGTAACAAAGTTCCTGTCCCTGGATAAATGTCTGCCCTACAGGGAATTCTTACAGGTGAGAGAAAATTGTGTTGCTAATTATACAAAGGTTACGATCTAGTTCAGTGGTTCTGAAACTGTGGAACATAGAGCCACTGAAGAGGGGGTGTGGATGACCAGGGGAACAAGAATGTGATCAATGGAGGGAAAGTAACCAAAGAGTCTGCGGATTGTGTCGTGCTTACCTTTTGTTTCATAAAAAATTCAACTTGGATCCTTTTTGACTAGTTGCTTAACCTATCATTAGTAATAATTGATCAAAATTGTTGACTGGTGTGGCTTGGATTGGCTTCTGCTGGGGGGCACGCCAGAAGAAGTTTGAGAACGACTGATCTAGTTGAAGCTGTAGAGGTGATAGTTATTTATTTGTATACCTTTTGTGTTGCAGATTGTGGATGTTCCAGAGAGACCGGGTTCATCTGAGGGTCTGGAGTATGATCCAGAGTGGCTTGCGATCCTGAAGGCCACCAACAGTCTTCAAAGGACCACCCCACACCCCTGGAACCCCCCAGAGAACAATGGCCTGCACGAGCGGTACACAGATATTAAACTTACAAGCAGAGCATATGCAGTCAGTTGAAAGATGGTCGTCAAAGAGAAAAACCCTGTAAGCTTCAGCCGTGAAATGAACACTGAACGTAAAAGTCTGCTGACAAAGCTGAAAGAGCGGTAACGTAGCTGTGACTGAAGCAGTAGCATCATGCTGTTGGTAAAGCACTGCACTCTCTTGGAGAGGCTGAATATATATTTTAATATTCTTGGAATACAATTAATGATCGTTCTCAATTAATCCGCCAAAAAATGCCCAATCGACACAGGCTTATTATATTGTTTTATTGTATTTAGTATATATATTTTATCATATCTTAATGTATTTTGTTGCATTTTATTCAGTTTTCTTTACTTTTTGCACTACATTTCCCTGTGCTGTTGTACCAATTTGAATTTCCCCCAAGTGGGATCAATGAAGGAACATCTTATCTTAACTCAACGCGCAGAAATGTCAAGAACCTTTTTTAACACTGACAACAGAACGCCTTTCACTCTGTGCTTCATCAAGCTGCTAAAAATACAAACGCACAGTCTCTGTAGTGAATAGCAATGGCATACGGGTGTGGAAGTAGACTCGACCATCTCAGACAAGACAAACAACAATACCACTGAGCAATACACTCTGGAAATAATAACTGAAATTATAGATACTGATTAATCAGTCGTCAGATTAATCAGGCTGATAATCTGGTAATTTGAAATAATAAGCATCGGCAAATGACTGCACTCGCAAGCCGTAAACAAAAACATGTCTGCAGCCTTGTCGGTGTGTCTGCTGTGGAAAGATGTTAGCGCTCCCCCTTTGTGAGTTTGGCCACTCAGTTCTCTAAATGTCAGCATTGGCCATTGAATATACATACATATCAGTCGACCACTAACTAAAATAAATAAAAGTATTAAATATGATGTTTTTTGGGGTTTTTTTTCTCATTACCTGCTCATGTTGCAGTGGCCAGCACTCAGCCCTGAAGTACATGCTGTGCAAAAAGCTTTTTTTCTTTTTCATATTCAGTTTACTATAAGACAAGCTTGAAACAGATAAAAACACAAAAATAACTTGTCAATTAAATAGTTGAATAAAAATTGACTAATTGCCTAATTTCCTCTCGTACTTCTGCAGTTGACTTAAACATAATGCCACAACAGTTGGGCTCACAGTTTTGGTTCATGCTGCCACTTAATAATATGGATTGTCTGCACCCTGCAGGTGGGACTTTAGAGCTTCAGAAGCAGCTATGATGGAGGTGGTGGAGGATTTCAACGGTGAACTCACCATTCCAGACAACTTTAGCCAGACTGTGCCACCCTACGAGCCCAACAAGCCCCAGCCCCATGCCAGCCCCAGCTGCAACACCAACCCTCAGACCACAGAGCTCTGTGCCACGCTAGGCCTCACAGACATCTACGCCCAGGCTGGGCCGGGAGGAGATGACCTGGGGAGAGTTCAGGGCAGTATCGGAGGGGAGGAGGATGATGATGAAGATAGACACAGTGTGGGGAGTGTGGACGAGCCCAGCGAGTACCCGAGCGACACTTCTGGATTGTCGAGCTCATTGAATCCCGACGAAATTACGATAGAGGATGAGTGGGAAGAAGAGGAGGGAGAGAAGGGAAAGGAGGAGGTTGAAGGGAGGTCGAACGCAGCAGTAAAGGGAGATGAGCTCTCTAATGCACCTGTAGGTGAGTTTAACACCCCCAGCCGGATGGTGCTGCCCGAGCCCAAATCTGAGGCCTCGCCCACTCGTCTGTCCAACATAATGAACCTGCCGCCCCCCTTCCACTCCACCCCTGCAGTAGCCCGGCCTCAGCCTGGAGCAGAAGGGGAAGGACAGTGCGAGGGCGACGATGAGGATGCCACAGCTGTACGTATGCTAAAACGTACCAGCAACGAAACCCAGGATCCTGGCAGCAGAGGCACAACCCCCAGAATCAAACGCAGGAACCAGGTTATCTATACAGCAGCGGACGATGACGAGGGTGAGGATTAGAGGTCAGGGTGAGAGAAAGCAAAAGGCAAGGACCCATGAGTGTAAGTCTCCATCAGTTTATCAGTTCTGTTCATGTTCAGTATAGAATCCAAAATCAGAAGAAAAACACGAACAAATTCATTTTTTGTACTTTAGATTTTACACTCAGGTCAAAAAGAGGAAACGAACAAGCTTTGATTTTTATCTTAAAATTTAAATATTTTGTCTGTATGCGTGTACTGGGACGGGAATGGGAATGTTTTTAAGATTTTTCAATATCAAAATGATTCAGTGATAGTTGTCAGCAAAATTTAAAAGTTATAGTTAATTGGGCAAATTTTATTTTCCTAAATGTAAACAAATCACCGCTCACTGAATCCACATTATACATTATTATACATTATACTGCTATTTCTTGTTCATCTGACTTGTAACGTGACATTTTCCAAAAGACTTGCTGATGGTCATATTAATTTCATGAGATCAGGTTGACCCCATCGCAGTGTATTTGCTGCAAAGTGAGTGATCAAGTATAACACATGTAGAGGTCAGTAACTTCCTGGTCGCACAAATCTAACAAATCAACTACAAAATTTCATTTCTTTTTTTTTCTTGCAAAATTAAGTTTTTTGTACTTTTGATTTTATGCTCAAATCAAACGTAAGAAAAAGTATTAATTTTGTGTTGGATTGATAAATGAATAACGACATAAGGAATCATTTTTTCATTTTCTGATTTTGGACTCCCAATTGAACATGAAAAAAAGGAATGATACAGGGATTGTAGTGATGTACAGATTTACTGTCTGCCTTTTCTACAGCTACTGACATGAGCTGTACAAAGCAGAAATACAGCTTTATTAAAATGTCCTAAAAGCAGACTGTACATGACAAAAGAGCTTTCTGGATTTAGTTTGTACAGAAAGGTGGTTATAGCGATGTTGTCTCTTTGTTAAAATATGATTTTTATATATATATATTTTAATCTTACCGACATAGAATTTTAGGAAACATTTCTGTTTTTTTATACATGTCATTTCAAGACAACAGCAATGATTAAAGAGGCTGGAAAATTAAAATGTCCTTTTTTTTTTTTTTTTTTTTAATGAATGAATGACTTCATACACCATTGTACAGCCACTTGGCAAACTCCAACGCAGATCAAATGTGGCTGTCGGTGTCTTTTGTTTCACTTCACCGAGGCAAGTGAAAGAAAAGCAATCAGCATTCAGCACTCGGTGCCACTCACAGCTTTATTGAACACTACACAAACCCAGGTACTGATGTAAAATCAAGTCTTGTTTTAATTACCTTTGTCATCTCAAGTGCACAGAACACTGAAGAACAATGAATGTTGTTCAATGTATATAATGAGCTCATGGTGTCCAGGGGGAGAACAAATCATTTTAGCTTGTATTTGAATACTGATACTGAATGGTATTGTTCTTCAAATAACTGTCTTAGTTTTTTAGACCCCTAATTAGTTCATATTTTTTATCAACAGATCTTAGTACCCTAGTTGCTTTAAGTGATATTGGTTTTGTTAGAATAAGTGTTAATTAGCTCTACATTGTGACAGCCGTCACTGATATAGAGAGATTCAGTCAGTCACATGGTCTCCCAGTCCCTCCTTCCTGCAGTAAACAGAGAATACACTTCCTGGTATCCTGTTCCCACTTTATCCAATCAGGAGAGAGAACTCCAGCAGAAGGCAGCAGAATATCAGTGTGATGACGTTAGGAGGAGAGAGGGGACTGCTGACTGTGGAGAGCAGACAGGAAGTTAGCCAAAATGATTATTTCACTGATAGAGCCTTTAAATAAATCTACGTGGTTGTGTATCTGAAAATGAGGCAAAGATTTTCCTGGACACCAATATTTGTTTAAATCAAACAGATTTATAACATCGATTAGAGTCCTTTAAACGTTCCATTCCATGTTCACAAGTGTGCTCTGCTAAAATCAACATACACTTCCATTAAAAGTAAGACAATATACAACATACAGTGTATTCAACAAGATCTCCTTACATCCATACAAAGAGCCAATACAGTATAGCCTAATGACAGGGTGCCCAGTTATTGGTTTATAGTACAAGCCAATGTCAGGGAAATGGTTCTCCTGCACTTTGCCTACGAAGCACACACTTAAAGAAAAGCCCCAAACAGGATTCACAGAAAGAGAAAACTGGGAATAGGCACTTCTGTTTTTGTTTAGTTTTTGTGTAGTTTTTGTGTGTTTTCATCAATTCCTTACTCATTTTGTTCAGCTAAGCCTTGGCAGCAACCAAGCACACAACTCTGTTTTAAGAGCATCATATTCAGTTAAATGAATCAGTAAAACCATTTAAGATTACTATGATTTCATGTTCACCAACAACTTAAGGGGACAGATGAGGGGCACATTAAACACAAGATGGGCAGATGTTGTCCTACAGGGCGTGGTACAGGTTTATAACTAATCACCCACCATATATATATATATATATATATATATAATGTGTGCCAATCATTTCATCTGGGCAGAGCTATAGATGGGCTACCTCATTTCCTGCTATTACAGTTGACCCCTCCTAAGTCCCTTAGCAAAGCCCCTTTTTGCTTTGTGCTCCAATAATGGTTGATCCAGTCTCAGTCAACTTTCTCCTTTTCTGTACTTAGATATGCTATGTGCTACGTCACTTTCATCTTTTAACCATCTTCCAAATGTGGGGGTCTTTTCAACATAGCAAGCCTAGCACAGGGGTTCCCAAACGTTTTAATGTCAAAGACCCCCACAATGGATGCACATTAGACCACGGACACCAAGATTTTTTCTTAAGGAATCCCTTTTCAGTTTTAGTCTTCATAGTCAATCAAGGATTAAACTAGGATCACTAATAAATAACTATCAATCAAATGGCCAGGCCTGTATCTTCCCTTGTTGTTCCAACATCCTCCTCTTGCTGAGGACCAGCCCACTCAAAGAGCATATAGAAGGCAGAAAGTTGACTGAGGCTTGCTCAACTGTTAGCTGGAGCACAGGGTGAAAAGGGGCAGGACTTTGGAAGGGTCAGTTAGCCCCATCACTCACTGTGATAATGGGATTAAGCTATTTATTCAAAACATGGTCTTTATAAGTCTTGTATCTGATGCAATACTACTTTCTTTGGGTTTGAGGGTTATATTTTCTGCTACAGGCATGTAATTAGTTAGTTGCCAGTTTCCTGCTCATACACAGCAATGTTAAAGTCATGTGCCAACATACACTTCATATCAAGACTATATTGTTGCAGTTTGTGTTACAGTCTGTGGTGCGTCACATTTTCCTTACAAGCACTCAAGCAAGGCATTGGAAACCAAAAAGAACACTGCACTTTAACACGCTTAAACAAGTCTGCAGGACCAAATGTATGTATGAGAAACACAACGTAAAATCATCAATCAACAATCTCAGTGGATCCGAACTTGGCCTCACACACTGAATTTCTATCTGCACAGAAGGAGAGGAGTAATGTGAGTGGAAGCAGTGCCGCACAGACACTGGAGCATCACTACCAGCAGTCAAGAGAAGTCAAAATACTGGACAATAAATACGTACAAATTGACTTATTATGTTGGGCAAACTGTGCCTCTGCTTATCTGATGTGGGTTTGAATAGTGCCAGTGACACCAGGGAAGGTCAGGTTAGGAATAATGGGATCATTCCAGTGGGACAGTATGTGGCATTATTCACAGCAGGATTTGATTGATTCTGGACTAGGAGGAGGCAAAGCAAGCAAACGCAGCCCTAACCATTTGGCTTTTATGTGTTGACCCTTTTTTCTCCTTTCCTTTCTTGGCTGCTCGCCAGCGTGTGCTGCTCATTTTGTGCATTTTTACGCAATCAGGGCTGCGACTGAAATGATGCAAGAATGAAAACGAAAGAAAGTTTACAATTACTACTAAATACTACAACAGGCTTGCCACTGTCTTCCACATTCTTTATTCTCCTCCTCTCAAGTCCTCACTATACCTCCCCCTGGTCATTTCCAAATGCAGAATCTCAGTTGGTGGTCAAGAGACACAGATGTGAAACACTGTGTCTTTCTCCTCCATCTCTGCTTGCTCTTCCTTTCCTCTAATTCTCTCCTTTGATTTTCTGTCTGCTTGGACAGGAGGATGAATGGAGGGGAAGGGGGTGAGTGGGTGCTGGGTTTCCCCGCACCAGGCCCACCCCTGTAAGTTGGTTGAAGGAGACAGGATGGCTGAAGGGCTGTGGTGGTGTGGATGGTGGAATACTGGTGGGAGTTGTGGGGGTCTAGTTGCCACCACAGCAGGCTCTGGTAGAGTGGGCATCAGGGTCCTGGAGGTTGACTCCCCGATGTCGCGCTGCGTGTGTAGGGTTTTGGGTGTCTGTTTTTGGCATCTTTTTTGCTACATTAAGACAAAGTCAAATTTTTTTTTACCAAAATTAACAGAACTTGAAAGAACTAGAAAGAACACATATCTACCAAGAAAAATAACTCTAATAATATAATTCAAAAATTCCTGCATTTGAATTTAAACCCACACCAAGTCTAATCAAAAGATAAAAACACCAGATTTATTTTCATCCAGAAAATTTGCCAGGTTTTATGTGTATGTCATATCAGTGTTGATGGTTAATGTAGTCAATTAGATAATAAATTGCTCAGTGTGTGCTATATTGACCGAGAAAGCTGAGTTTTCCTGCTTTCGTGCCACCAGCAGTGCCTACATATACCAGGATGCATTGCGTGAAAGCCCCTGACGCCCACTGAGCAAGCTAATACCATATTTACAGCTTTTTTTTTTTTTAACACAACTCAACCCACTAAAGTAAGTGATTGACTCATTTCCCTTTGCAAGTAGACAACTTTGCGTTTCTGTTTTTATTCTGAAGTGTCACATTCAACACACCGGAACACAGGGTTAGTAAACAGTAGAAAGCAGCATTTGTTACTTGCCTTTGGCTGCGAGCCATGCCTCTTTCACTCTGTATATCACCCTCTCTCTCACAGTGCCAGTAGTCTCATAGCCAGACCTACTGTATCTCCACAGCGCTGTGTCAGCGACCTGTCTCATTATTTTCCCCTCCAATCAGGAGAAGCTCTCCCATCTCACTCTCTTGCCAGTGTTGCATCTTGCACAATATGAAGAATAAAACTGCTGTTGCACATTGTTCCCAAAGACCATAAAAAACAATAAATAATGTAGAACTTAAATGCGTGTCATAGCATCGTGCCGGAGAAGGTTAAAATGAGTGTCTATGGGTGTCAGCTTTCCATCGCTGCCGACTGGAGCTGAAGCTGATAAATGCCGGTGACTACTGCAGTCATTTGTCCTGGAACTGAATGCCGATTGTACCCTTTCCCACTAAAGACAAAAGCCAGAGGTTAGTGGGTGCTAGTGGGTCTTTTTGTCCAGTGTGTAAGGGGCTTAAGTAAGGGCACAACGTTGCAGAGCACATGGTTCCTGCAGTTTCACCATTTCTTTTTCACACGTAGCAATATTGTTACCTTGACATTTCGAGCTGAATCAGGCTCTAGTTCGTCACTGTACACTGTATCACTGTACATGTCTGTAAAATACAGTACTGGGGCTGATTTTGCAGCTATTTCTCTGTCAATATGGCACGCACTGAGGAATGTATTGCTTCAGTTGACTACATTTACCATCAATACTGATTGGATATCCAAAATGTGGCACATTTTCCCTTTAATAAAGCTTTTTAATAAAAGATGAGCACTCATAGTGTACCTCATTTTGTCATCAAAGTAAGTTGTTTTGGAAAATGTATTTTAAAATAAGCACAATGTCTCACAAATCTTTAATCTGGATCAGCATCAAAAATCGAATTGTTTATCGGCCAATGGCTCGACTTCCCAGCAAATTTCATTTAAATCTGTGAGCAGATTTTTGACGTATGCTACTAAACCAACAGTCATAATCTCTTAGGCTTAATGACCCTTAGGAAACTAAATGAAAGCACACTCACCAATGGCCAGGAAGAGCTCATTGACGTTCATGGCTGTCTTGGCCGAGGTCTCCATAAAGAGCAAGCCAGTATCTTCAGCGTATGTCTGGGCTTCCTTTTGCATACAAACAAATACAAATATATATGCATAATATATCAGCAGTTATTCGAAATACTGCAGAACACAAAAAAAAAACCTAAACCTGAAAAGACCTCAAATGTTTCTTATCTACAAACAGCAGACACTCAGTCGAGCACAGACCTCTGAGCTGATAAGTGCAGCCTCTGCAACAACCGTTTATGGTTGTAGTCAAGATTGAACAAAATTACTATTGTACACTGTCAGGTAGCTGCTGACTCATTGTTAGGACTCTTCCACCAGAATCTGAATGCAGCCAAATCAGTAAAAATGTGTTTAACATCTGAGATATGGACATTTGTTGATTGGTTTGATGGATCCCTGTGCTCTATTATCTAATATTTTTGTAAGATTGTGCACACAAGCTCAGTTAGCCTGTTTGCTTGCAAACACCTCCACCTGCTCTACTACAACTTCTGTTAAAAGAACTGCAAAAAAGAAGTGCAGTTTCATTAAACTGCCCACCTTTCACATACTGTGGTTACTTATAGAACCAATAGTGCCAATTACATGCATTCATTCATAACACATATGTAACCTGTCATCATTTCATCATTAGGCTACAGCCCACAAACATGACCATGTTACCTCATATTCTACTAGTCTCCTCTCTGCCAGGTCAGCCTTGTTCCCGGCCAGGGCAATAACAATGTTAGGACTGGCCTGCCTCTGCAGCTCCTTCACCCAGGCCTTGGCTCTCTCAAAAGTCTCCTGCACAAACACAGCACCAAGGTCAGATAAACTGCAAATAAGCCTCAGGAATATTTCCACACATTACTGTTCCAAGCTGACTATTTGTTTTTTTTTTTTATATATATATATATATATATATATATCTTATGAATGTCTGGAGGGGGTCTTTAATATTAATATCAGATACGTATGAAGGTCCTGGCCTTAAAGACTGTGTTACAGTTAAGTAACATAATTTCTTCGCTCATTTCACTGTTTTAGCTGAGTGAAATAAACCATGAATGGCTGACAAATATGTCTGCAGGCAGTAAGAGTTATCACCCAGAATCATAGTTAGGACAAATTCATCAATATTGCCCAGACCTACATAAACAAGCAACTAGTTGATTAATCTGTTCATACTATACCGGCTTGGTGATGTCAAAGACAACGATAGCGGCCTGAGCACCACGGTAGTACATGGGAGCCAGGCTGTGGTATCGCTCTTGTCCTGCAGTGTCCCAGATCTCAAACTTCACCGTGGTATCATCTAAGCACACCGACTGAGCCAGGAAAGCAGCTGGACATAAAGAGGGGGAAAGGACAGGTTACCAGGTGTTCCTAAAAGCATTGTAACCTACTCCAAACTGCAACCTTCATGCCCTCTCCCCCCTACATTCACATCACACATCTCTCAGTTTTCACCTCCTATGGTTGTCTCCTGGAACTCATCAAACTGTCCCTTGACGAAACGCAGCACCAGGCTGGACTTGCCCACGGCCATGTCGCCCAGCAGCACCAGCTTGAACTGGCAGATCTTGGTCTGTGGAAGTGTGCCGTTGGAGCGGCCTCCACTCCCTCTGGAGCTCATGGCGGCCCGTGTAGGAGACGGCAGGGGGGCTGGGGCCTCCTCCCTGGAGTGGAGCACTCTTGCACTGCCTTGTGTCTTGGGAGTGTGGTCGAGCCTCAGCGGTGGTGTCTTCTTGACCTCTCTTCACACCTTGTTTTGTCTGAAGGAAGAGGTGAAAGATTTTGGTGCAAGATTACATCATGGCCTACCTAACATACACTTAACTTTCTCTTCCAGTGCATCCATAGTGTCTACAGATCGGGGTTCAGGTAAGGTGGGCATCTGACATGAATTCAAGGAATAGCCAGTAATACCAGCCCTGAAGGTCTAACTGTGCTCACATCTTACCTTACCTCTCACACTTGTTTATGAAGGCACCAACTGCCTCTTCCAGTACATCCATACAGTCAACAATAAAGAGTGGGGTTTTATAAGGAAGGGTGGAGATTTCCTTGGCATGAAACCAAGTTGATAGCAACTGAATGGCTCTCCATTCCCCGGCCCTGCATGCCTGCCCTGTGCTCCGTGAATCAGAGCCATGTTTGTGTCCCACTGTCCTGCAGTGAAACTGGAGCTTTAACAGGGATGCTGCGCCTCCAACTGCTGTCTCCCACCTCATAGACAACAATGCTCAACACCCATCACTGCAGCACATTAGTCATTAGAAACATTCCTCCAACCTCAGCGTCAGACAGAGGTCAGTTGGCATTCCTGCACTCAGCCTTGAGGTTGCTCCCACCACAGTAAACGCGATCATACCAGCAGCCCTTGCGTTATGTGCTAACGGGACACCGCTCCGACCACTCGGGTCGGACGAGACGAAACTGTGCTCAACCTTTATATTCGACGCCCAGTGAAACACACCAACACTACATGTCCACCTGAATAACACACGACTCCTGAGGCAGAACTCTAGACATATTTACCGTGTGTACTGTTGTTTCAGCGGCGGACGTATCGCAGGCTTAACTGTTGACAATTTGGCTATCAGCTGGTTAAAGAAAATGTTAACACTTCCTGTAAATCAGCGCAGGCGCACTGAGTGTCGCATTGTCAGTCCTGTAACCGCATTCCCCAGCGGTCGCTCCACTGACTGTGACACATTTTTACACTCTGGATTTAATGTCGACAAAACGATACATCGTTGTTTCGCAGCCGGAGAAACAATTATTTGTATTTACAATGACAAGTATGAATGAAAGATAATGAGTACTGGTCAAAACCAAGCATATTGCCGCCCAACTTGAACATTATTTTACCACAAACACATTCCTGTAGAAATAATGGAACGTTAAAGGGACTTTTGAACGACGTTTAATTGACCGAGAGATCGCTGTGGACTCCAGGCCGCAGGGGGGCGCCAGACCGCACTCAGACAGGAAGCTACACGGAAGTCTTGAACGCTTGACGGATGTTTGAATTATTTTGATCAGCGGACCGAAAAGCTTCTCATCGACACTTATTGAATACACTATAGAATGTGTATTAGCGCTTACCTGTGAGGGGGGGTGGCAGCCTGCTGACATTATGCCACCCACAAACACAAAGAAGCAGAAGCAGGGGAGGGACACCGCGGTCAGTGGCCCTTATTGATTCACTACAACGAGCAAAGCCTCAATGTAAAGTGTGGAACATCAGTGGTGTTACTGTACTGGATGCACTGGTGCTTTACTTTAATGTTCTCACTGCAGGCTGCTGTATGCTTTCATTCTAATACAAATCAGAGAGATTGCTTTTTACTCCTCTACTTTCATTCCACAGCCTGAAGGACTCTACAGAATTACACATGTTACACATTTCACAAGCAGGGGCGGATCTAGAGACCTTTCCATGGGGGGTCCAGTGGGTGGCAATATGGAACTATATGTTATTGAAGTTGACCTTAGAACCACACACACATTCATCAAAACATTATTGTGGCACAGTGAAGCATTCAGTAGAAATATCTAAAGCTTTTTTACCAAATGTCTTTTTTCATTGACTTTAAAGCTATCAGTAGTGTAAAACGTACCCGCAGCCGATCATTAGATTCATTTCCGTTTTTAGCAAGTTTTGAAAAAAACAACAGAACAACACTCAGATCCTCACGCTGTCCATTTCTCCTGCTTCTAACACATCAGCATTGAGGACACAATGTTCTCTTTCTGCCTGATATATCCCTCCCACTGACAGGAGCCATGATAACCAGATAATCAGTGTTAGTCACTTCACCTGTCAGTGCTCACAATGTTATGGCTGAAGGGTGTATGTATGTGAGTTTAGGGTAACCAGTCATCAGAAGCCATATTATGTGGTGTGTCCCATAAATGCCACCCCTTTTGATCTGCCTCTGCATACAAAACAGAACAGGACCTTATAAAACATGAAGCATTGTTGCAGATTAAAATACCCAACAGTGTATAAAATGCTTGAAAACCTAGTTTGATGCTTGATCTCAGCCTACCACAACACTACAACCATGCTTACACAGTAATCACAGGTCACATCAGTTATCCAGTGATTAATGAATAGCAGTGTAACACTCTCAGGGGTCATTTTCTGCACTCATTGCTTCTGCTTTTGATAGTTGGATAAATACATTTTGCCAAATGTTCTTACATACTTTATACACTATCATCTGAGGACAGGCTCAGGCATTTACACTTGGTGGCTCTGTTTTTGAATTGCTGGACCCAGGTGCAGGGAACCAATGACAGCAGTGTGGTGAGCAAGGTGTCTGCTGCAGCACAGGGGTACTTCCAGGATGTCTTCCTCCAACACTTTGTGTGCAAAGTGGCCAGGAGAGCTCCACTCATCAACAGGTCAGCAGGGATCTTCATCTCGTCACACTCAGTTGTGCATGAGACTCAGTCATCAGGGTCACAGTCACTTTATTGAACACACAAACTACATACACAGGAGTTGGCCTTGGTTGAAAATGGTGGTGTAATATTTCACTGCTGAATGCCAATTTTAATATGGCCGCTATATAATGCCGTTACCAAATCAAAGAAAATACATGTGTAATTCCAATATTCCATGCACATTACAATCTAATATGCTTATCTTGGCCAGTAACATGTTGTTTTAGATGGAATTGTTATTGATTAAAGCTGCAGTAGGTAACTTTTATAAAAAATAACTTTCTGTCATATTCACTGAAACTTTCATTTGATCCTGACAGATAATCAGTGAAACAATCAGATTCCTCTGGCTCCTCCTAGTGCTCCTAATGGCATTTACAAGAATCCACCGGGCCTGAACGAAAACAACCAATCAGAGCTGAGAAAGATAGTCACTTTGGGTTGGTGGATAGAAGACAGTTGATTGTTGAGTCTCATTCCAAGTGTCTGTATTTGACGACCGGAGAATGAGGCTCAACAATCAACAATCGCAATCTTTCTCAGCTCTGATTGGTTGCTTTCATTGAGACCCGGTGGATTCTTGTAAATGCCATTAGAAGCACCAGGAGGAACCGGATTGTTTCACAGATTGTGTGTCTCATGTACTACTGTCAGGATATAGTGAAAGTTTCAGTGAATATGACAAAACCGTTTTTTTTTTTAATAAAAGTTACCTACTGCAACTTTAATGAAATAGAAAAATCCATTGGGTTACATTGTACGTAATAATAATGACAAACTGGCAATGAAATCAGAATTCCTGGCAATTCCTGAACAGGGCACTGAGGGTAGACCTTGGATTGGGGCTGGGACTACTGTCATTATTAATTTCATTATGGGTTAATTTTTCGTGATTAATCATGTGTTCTATAACATTTTAGAAACTAGTTAAATATGTCTATAACTCAATATTATGTCTGTATACAGAAACATACAAAACATAGTATATAATAATGACAATAATATTGTGTTGTATTTCCATCTTTTAGGGGCTACTATGTGCGTTGGAGAGCTGTGGACCACTGTGTGAGGAGGTTCCTTCACATTACTGAAAACTGCCCCAAGAGACAGGCGAGTTCACAGTGTATTGTCTAACACTGTTTTGTTTAGAAAGTTTTCCTTATGAAGGGTTGCGTATGTTATACAGGTCTGGAAAGTACTTGAAAGTGCTTAGATTTAGCCTACTGGAGTCTCAATCTCAAAATTCACCCACAATCCCCTTGTTATACATACTATGTGCTGCCCAGTTTCTCTAAATGACATTTCGCTTACACCAAAAACCCAAAATATCATGGTTTGTAATCGCTACAAAATTTGACATACTAATTCCTTAAGAAATAGCCAGTGATGGTCAGAATATCTGGGTTTTTTTTATTTATGGTATAATAATTTGATTTGTAAAGCACTTTTCAAGCTTAAGCACAGAGTGCTTTCCAGATTTAAACATATAGAGAACAAAACTGACAGTCAGAAACCCACAGGCCCTCCATAACACCCATGAACACACACAATTAAGAACAACATAAAAGCGGATGTTTCATCCTGATGGAATAAAAGGATTTTCTCCCCCCTCATTAAGGTAAACCATTCGAGTTTTTGTAAAGTGCTGTGCTGGGTTAGAGTGGTATACTGTATGTGAACATCTAGGTGAATGGTTGGGCCTTCATTTTGAAATAATTTGTCCTTGAAAAGTGCTTGAAATGTGTAATTCTAAAAGAGTTGCACCCTTGTTTATACACATTTGTTTTTATTTCTCATTCTGTCATTATCTTTCCCCCTTTATTAGATTTTGTCACTGGGCGCCGGGTTCGACTCTCTGTATTTCCGCCTATGTGCTGGTGAAGCACTTGACAGGGCTGTCGTGTTCGAGGTCGATTTTCCTGACGTCACCCGGCGGAAGGCTGCCCTCATCAACTCTAATATCACACTGAGGGGGATGTTAGACTCCTATTTACCTTCTCCTACAGGTTTGTAATTTCCCTCACACACAACACACTTGAGATTCAAAGAGATTTAATTGAGTATATGCCTTATGTGTGTCTTCAGGACCTGTTTGTGTGTCCAGTGCTCAGTACCGTCTGCTAGGGGTGGATGTGAGAGAGGAGTCCCAGGTCGAAGAGGCTCTGAGTGCAGCTGGGATGGACTGGGTTGCCCCTACTCTCATTCTCTCTGAAGTGGTGCTTACCTACATGGAAACACAATGGTGAGGCAAGGTGGTCTATTTATGGGACCATATCACCCATTATGGGTTACATAATATATCAGCTAGGACTTTAAAATCATGTACTGTATTTGGATCTTAGGTCTGGTACAATAATTAAACAGTACACAGTATCTAGAAAAAGACAGCTCTACAATATCATCATGTTTATCATATAAACGTGGGGGAAAATGAGAGGAGGAAGACTTTTTATTTTTCAATATGAGAATAAACATGTATCCCACGCGTGCTAGAAAATCTGGATAACCTGGAAATTTAGACTTTTCAGTCATGGAAACGCCTGGAAATGGATTAAAATGACCAAATGTCCTGGAAATATTCTCTTGTCCTGTACATTTTCATTGTATTTTGGCTCCACACTCAGATTCCATAAACCTGGGTGTATATTTTGTTTGAAGCTCAACTGTTCAGAGCGGGTTTACCAGACGCAAAGCAGAACAGAAAAACGCTGCTTTTTCATTTCTGCTCCCATGTCAGTGTAGAGCTGTTCACCACCAACTTTTAACATCAAATCTACAAGCATACAGACTATTATTGTTTAAATTTACATTGGTTCTTGTGCTTCATAACTGTTCATTGTACATGCAACAGACACTTATACCTCCTCTTTTAATAGTCTGATTAATTTTCTGTAAAATAACATACATTTTTTATAATATTTTATAACTTTTTTATGCCACAGTAGAAAAATCAGTTGTGGTAAGAACAGCCAAGCACGCCACGAAAGCAATCTAATGTGGAATGTCCCACAAATGCTGGCCACCATTGTGAGCAAGTGCTGTCTTGTATTGTCAAGAAAAAACTCCTTTACTCCTGGTAAAGTTGAAACGTCAAAAATAAAATAAAGTTGAAATGTCAAGAGTGAAGTTGGAAATTGCGTCTTTTCAGAAGAACAGAAACAAACTTGGAAGAGGTGTCAGTTGCTCTCATAACTTCATTTGATGGACCAGTAGAATTGACTTTATTCTTTATTCTCAACATTTTGTCTTCATTCTCCAATTGCAAAAAAAAAAACTAATCTTCCTCTGATTTATTTTTTCTACTGAAAGTCTGCCTTTATTCTCCATATTTCTACTTTGTCAAAATGCAAAAAAGTCTTCATATTCCCATTTTTTCCCCTCGGTCTTGGCCCTAATAATCTTCCCTATGATTATGGTCTTAGCTCTGATGGGATGTTTGTTTGCAGTTGACATATGCTGTGTGTCTTTCAGGTCGGATACTGTCATTAGTTGGACAGCCAAGCTCCTGCCACAGTCTCTCTTTGTCATGTACGAGCAGATACATCCTCATGATCCCTTTGGCCGGATCATGCAAGATCATTTTCTGAAACTAAATTCAACTCTGCACGCCCTCCGACAGTACCCAGACACTGCTGCTCAGAGACACAGGTTCCTGGACAAGGCCAGTATGCAGACAGTGACTTATTATTATATCTTGTTACTGTTGCTCTTAATGAACACACCTTTAATCAAGTCGTGCATGGAACAGAGGTGTTTATTTCTTATATCCATGTTGATCAGTTCTCTGTTTTTGTAAAGTAGACACAAAGGTTTAATCAGATATGGTGTCTCAATGAATTGTGTTATTGTGTTCAGGGCTGGGAGCAGTGTGTGTGTCTGGATATGAACCTCTTCTACCTCGGGCTGGTCCCTGAAGAAGAGAGATCCCGAGTGGAGAGCCTTGAGCCGTTTGATGAATATGAGGTTAGCCTCTGAAATGTGTTTGCATCTTTTTATTGTGTGGGTTGTCTCTCCGTCATACCCTTTATTAAATCATACTTCCAGGTAATAACGTTGAACAAAATGAACTCTACGTCTGTCTACCTTTTAGGAGTGGCACCAGAAATGTTCCCACTACTTCATCCTTACTGCATCTCAAGGCTCTTTGATGGCACAGGCTTTACTCCCGCATGCTCCAGGTAGCTATCACTGTATTTCCATTTCACAGAAACCACTGTCCCGACTTTACAACTAACAGATCTTTTACAGTTTGTTTGAGCCATTTTACTTTTTCTTCTTTTTAATTAAGTAGAAAGTCCGTCGGTACAAGTCATCTTACATTTCCAATTTAGTTTTTTAAATAAAACTCAATCCATCCCTTCCAACATTTATAAAATATAAATGTCTTCACTCTCAAAGCAAATGTTAAAGCTGCAGTAGGTAACTTTCATTAAAAAAAAAGTCAAATTTGCTGAAAGTTTCACTATATCCTGACAGTAGTACATGAGACAGATCATCTGTGAAATAATCAGGTTTCTCTGGCTCCTACTTAGCTAATTCCTGTGGACAGGAATCAAAATGGCCACTGACAGGCTCAGATTGTTGACTTAAGTGTCTGACAGCATTATGGAAATGATCCCTACAGAAACTGACCTTTTGTTTAACCAGAAACAGCCGCAACATCGCTTTCGCTTGCCACCAGACTCCATAGACAAAAACAGTAATTTTACCTTGATATCATCATAACATTGTAACTTCATTCAAAGTGGACAGAAACAAGATAAAACTCACCAAACTGTCTTTGTTAGTTTTTCCACTGTTCCAACAATCACCAACTCTGGTTTGGTTTAAATAAATCCTTAATTCACCGACAGGTAAAGAGAGTGTGACACTATTCTCTGCTCAGGACACTGTAAATAAATAATAATAATGAAAAATAGCTGTTTGCTGCTATATTAATGTCTAACATATATCACCTTTAAGACACATTGTTTGCTTGTCTGTACATGTTTCACGGTTAAGGTTGTAACACTTGTGTTTCTGATGTTTGTTTGTTTGTTGTTTTTGCCTCAGTATCTCCAGTGCCATCCACCTGCCCGTCTTGGAGCCCCACAGCCCTGAGTGTGCAGACCGTACCAGTCTGTTTGGAGGGGCTGGGGATGGCTAGCTCCTTGGTAAGCCCAGGGCAGGTCCTGCTAACAGGAGGGTGTAGCAGAGGAGGCAGGGGGCCAGTGACCAGGATCCTCCTCAGGGGCCAGGAAGGCTGGAGAGCTGTCAGTGTGGAACCAGCTCTAGATTTGGGTGAGAGGGCTTTCTGCTTCAGATTCTTAATTGGTTTTACCATTACTAATTATTCTTTTAGTCAAATGATCAACATTGTGAAGTGAGACCAGTTTAGCTTCCAGTGTGAACAGCTGTTGCCTTCCTCCAGGTGTTCGACTCTACCACACTGTTACCACTCTTCCTGGAGGAGGGATCATGGTCTACGGTGGTCGCTCCTCTCCACTCAACCCAACCAGAGGCCTATTCAGAGTAATCCTTGACCTCGGTAGTCCTCTCGACGAGGAGCAAGACACGGCAAAACTGTGGGTGGATCAGATGGTCTGCACAGGGGATCCACCTCTGGCAAGATGGAGGCACACTGCTACTGTGGTCAGTCACAAAGGTGGGATAATGCAGGAAGTCATGTGTGATTTCTTTCTGTCTCTCATTCATTCATTTTCATCCTTTCTTATTTATTATACAATAAAGCCTTCTCATTTTTCCTGTAGGCAAAGACTTTGTGTTTGTGTTTGGAGGAAAGAATGAATCCGAGGCAGCTCTGGGTGGCGGCTACTTCCTGTCTGTAGACCAGCAGCACTGGACTGAGGTTTGTTTGGTCCCTATCCATGTCTAATCTTTGTAAATATGTTTTTAATTGCACACACACTGCTAGTATTTGAATAATCTTGTCTCTCCCCGCTTTAGATGACATTGGGCCTCATGCAAGAACCGCTCGTACAAACAGGTTTTAATGGCGATTTAACGAAGTGATTTCAGACAAATTGCTGCATTCACCGTTTTCTCATATTTGAAATTTCCTCTTAAGTACAAACTAAATCCATGAGTGGCCCAGACATGTTGTTCAAGTCATGTCTAATATAATCGGCCTCTCTTTACAGGAGGAAAACACTCCCTTGACGTGGAATCATAATGCCTGAATAAATTTAAAGGACCATTGTGTAGGATTTAGTGGCATCTAACTCACTCTCTTCACCCTCCCCTTCTAAGCGCAAAGGAGAAGCTATGGCGGCTGCGAGATAGAGAAAAGAGAGAAAAGACACGAATGCCTCTATCTAGAGCCAGTGTTTGGTTTGTCAATTCTGGGCTACTGTAGAAACATGGTGGTTCAACGTGGTGGGGTCCATAGAAGGGGACCCACGGACTGGACCTTTAAGAGTTTAAATGTGAACCAAACAAACAAAAAAAAATTTAATGAATATTCTGTTAACCGTACTATCAGCATGGCATGACCATTTTACAGAGAGGTCTTTTTTTTTTTGTGGCATATTTCAGTACAGCCACTTGTACATATGAGTTGTTGTTACACTCAGCTGCCTCTTTATGCAGGTCTCTGAGCAGTATCGTCTGTTGTTATGACAGGGCGTCAAAACAAATCTATTTACAAAAATGATATACTGTAAAATCTATTAATAAGTCTTAAAAAAAATGTAAACACACCTGACAGTGTAACAGCACCTACCGTATGCTAGATGTTACAGGGTGTCCGCTAGGCATAGGCCCATATGAAAATGTCAGGTCATGATTACATGGTCAAAATAATTGCAATTCATGATATTATTGCAGTTATTGTCAAGATTTACTTAAAAGTCTTAAAATGCCACAAAAACATACTGGAAGCACGTAACCTTACATTTTGTTAAGAACAAATTGCACCTCAGATAGGAACCTCATCTCCCTGTTCTTTAGTTTGAAATCTACACTATTTCCACACATATGCTTTAACCTTTTTTGTGGTCAATACAACGAGCAAGACAAGCCTTCAGCCATGGTGACAGGATTAGGATTTTGGAATAAGTGAAGATGTGGATTCCCCATTGTGCCCTTGTTCAAAATAAATCAAAGAAATTAATATAGGACTGTACGTTAGAGAGCTAGACAGCTTTTTCAAGTCACTTGTGATGATATTCACAATTATCCCAGGAAGGAAAATTCCCCACGACATACTTATCTCGGTGCTCTTTATCGTGATACCTGACAATATTGTACATCATCCCATCCCTAGTAGGGCTGTGTATTGGCAGGAATCTGGCGATTCGATACATATCACAATACAGGGGTTACAATTCAATATATTGTGATACTGAAAGTGAGGTGATATATTGCAATTTTTAAATGCATTTTAGGAAAACTATCCTAAAAAGGTCTTAAAAAGTCAGTTGAACCTACAGAACCTTTGTATTCTAATATCTCCATCATCCATTATATTAGTCATATAAACTGCTTATAAACCATTATCTCTCTCTGTCTCTGAGTACATGTTGTTGGCAGCTGCACTGTTAATATTTTCTGACTGTGGATCCTCTAATACGAGTACTGACTCAGTTTGACTTGTTATTTTCACGTCTGCTGATTTCTGACAGCAGGATATTCTTCCTTATGAAACTTGCCCACAAACCGAGGCAGCTTTATATGGTCATTTTAGGGTTGTAGATTATGCTAATGATGGTTGCAGAAATTAGCAATCTACAACAAATTAAGAGAATTTGTAAATCCAACTTTGAACACTTGTACGAGCTAACCTGGCAGGAAAAAGTATGAAAGGGTTTTCAGAGAAAGAAAATGTTCTTGTATTGAGACCCTGTGTGTGTGTGTGTGTGTGTGTGTGTGTGTGTTATTTACAGATCCCAGTAGAGGGCGCAGCTCCAACGGCCCGCCATTCCCACTCAGCGTGTTCACATCAGGGAGGTGTGGTGGTGTTTGGGGGACTAGATGGACGGGGAGTGCCACTGGGGGACACAGTGGTGTTAAGGCCAAGTGAGAGAGGCTTCTGCTGGGATAGAATAGAGGTGCAGCCCCCTCCTGTTCCCAGGTCTGTTGTTTTTCATTGCTGTCACATTCACACACCATCAGTTCAAATAAAACCCTCCACTAAAGAGCTGAAATGACTGGCTTGGTTTCAGGTATTCTCATACTGCCCATGTGATTGGTGGAAGGCTGGTTGTGGTTGGTGGAGTCTGGCTGCATTCAGACGGTGTACCAGGTGGTGTCATTATCAACCTCACCACGTGCAGCAGTGTGGAGTTCAGGCTGGACACGGTCAGTTAACATTTATTGGACCTAAGTGTCATAGATATATATACTGACTAGATGTCGCCTTGACTACCGCTGTTCATTGGAACGAATGCGTCAATAGAGACGCCATCTTGCAGCGGGGATCCACCCACCTTTAATGCATTAGCGTCAATCTAGGCAAAGATCTAACGAAAATAAAATCACAATAAATCGTCAAAATCTCGAACGATTTTTTAGTTTTTTTTGTTTGTTCCAACTGACAGACATGTATTTATGATCGAGTCCAGAGAAAATGTAAGCTTTTGATATTAATATAATCTACTTCAAAATGTAATGCCTAGTACTAGTAGGCGTAGGTTTATTATTCTTCCACTTAATAGTATGTGTATTTGCTTTTACACCTGTATTGTACTCATATCTAATGACATTCACAAAAAATCCGACCTAAAGGCTTCACAGCTCAATATTTCATGCAGTACCTTTTTGACGGTCGTGCTTTTATTTTGAAAACGTCACCGAACCAACCATAGCTATATATATACTGAAACATGAGACTGAAACAATATAATTTCATCACCAGAAATATACTTTCGTAACATTCAATATCATAAAACACATCATCACCTGTGAAATGTTATCCCTTGCTGTTGGTTTTTCATTTCTTTTGTTCGAACATCCATAAGCAGCACAACAGTCCGGCATCTTTACAGCTGATCTGAATGCAGGAAAACTAATTTGGCGCTTCAGATCCACGCTCCAAGATGGCGGCGGTTTTGACGTTTGCTTAGAAGCCCAAGGCGACATCTAGTCAGTATATATATCTATGCCTAAGTGTGACGTCACCCATTTGTTTGGGGTCTGGCATTATGGTCATTGCAATGACAGTTAGACAGAGCCAGCGGAGGTGACATTGGCATGTTCTAGTATTACAGATAAACATTGTTGAGGTGTATGAAGTGCAGCCTGGAGTCTCTGTAACAACGACAGAATTGCAGCTGTCTCATCTGAACAAACCAGTTGAATGTCGTGCAGCATTTAGTATAGTTTAGACATCATTCTATAGACTGACTTTCTCTCAGCACCACCATCTGTGACTTCCAAGTTTTTATCAGATAGGTTTGTGACTCTAATCCCAAAGAATATCCAAGTTTTTTTCTGGTGAATTTGCGGCTTTCATTTCAGAATAATTTATATTCAGTGCCACATACTCTACTGATGCATCAAGTGCTTTATATCAAGTCATTTGCTCATCTTGTGTAGATCTGTTAGACAAGATACTGAATAATACATCTCTCTGTGTTCTTCCATCTCTAGACCTCGGTACCCTGGCCTCTGATGCTCCACTCGTTCTGCTCTGAGCTTACGGACCCAGAGGGACCAGAGCTGCTTCTGATGGGCGGGGGAGGAAACTGTTTCTCTTTTGGGACTCACTTCAACCTTCAGCCTATCACTGTGGACCTCACACCTGTGCTGGGATGAAGTGGCCTCAAGTGTTTGTATGGAACTGTTATGCAGCTGAAATCAATGACTTAAACTAAGGACCCAAACTCTCACCATCAGACATCTCAGACAGGATGAAATGGATAAACCTGGATTATTTAGGACAGTTTCAATAATTCAAACCTGTTGAAAGTCTACTGTAGACATAAAATATCCAAAGAAATGCCTCATGTCTGCTTACTGGACAGGATTTTATTTGTGAGACCTCAGTTCAAAATTACAAAATAGTCAATCAAAATTATAGTCATAGCAGGTCGTTTTCTTTGAAGGTTTTGGATGAAGGTTAAATCATTCAGTGAAGCGCCTGAAGGACTGGACCGTGGGACAGACGGCACCCCAGTCGCCGGGCTGGCGGTACTCCCCCTTCTCCAGGAAGTACTGGCGCCCACGGTAGTTGGAGTGCTCATAGAAAACCCACCAGCCGTCGAAGACTTTGCAGGAGTTGACCTCCCTCCAGCTGTACTTCTCCAGAAGTGAGGGGCAGTCCTCTGTGGCCTCGAAGACCTGGCCCCCGAAGTCTGCCTTCTCATACAGCTGCATCTTGTACTGGGTCCCGCTGGTCTGGAAGGTGACGGGAAGGAGATGTTTGGGGGTATGGGAGTAGATGGCGGGGTTAAAGTGGAGGATAGGTGGAGAGCGGTGGTTAGTGCAGGGGGTTGGGGAAGAATGGTGAGGGGATGTGGGGTAAGAGAAACGGGGAAGGGGGGATATGTAGAGGGATTAGATTTGCATCTAATAAAAGGAAAATATGTTCGCAGTGCCCCATGTTTAATTGAGCCTTCTTAAGTCCCGCCCCTTTTTCTATATAATAATAACAGCTGAGGAAGCCTCAGAACCTCAGTCAACTTTTTTTTTTTTTTTTTTTGGATATGCTATGTGCTAGGCTAATCTGTGTTGAAAAGACAACCACATTCTGAAGATGATTAAAAGATAAAAGCAACATACATAGTCACATCCTAGGTAAGCTAGTGTTAGCAAAATGCTAGCTAATCTAAATCAATTGGTTGCTAGCTAATTAGGTAAGGTTTTGCTAACGTTACCTGTCAGATGGAACTAGTTAGATTCCCATGAGAGCAGCCCCTCCAGGTACTTTGGGATTGCATCAAGTCCCCGCCCCCTTTTAGGTGAAAGCAGTCCCTCTAATTTGACTGATGCTTAATGGAAACTCTAAGCTCTTTGCCAGTTTTTTTTATGTCATTGCCGCTCAACTCTGTTGTTATAAAGAAACAATGCAGAAACGCGATGACTTAGTCCTTTGAGTCTGCCTCCATCACAGTGGACGGACCTGACACATACATATTTCTGACATCTGACACTTTTCCTGCAGTTTCAATGTGACGTTACTGTAAACTAATTACATCGCTGTGGCGAAGCCAAACTGCCATTTGTGTTTATTCGACCATTTACTATGAAAACCAAACCAAACTCCATTCTCAAAGCGGGTGTTTTATGGTAGACCCATATTGTGGGTAGACCCACAGTGAAAAGTTTAGTTCCACCATCACTACTGATCACTCTCTGATTCTCTTCAATCCACAGACACACTCGGCACACGTCATTTACTCAGTAACATCATTAACTAACCTGTGATGAAGTGTTTGCCACAGACGGACACATGCTGTGATACCCACAGTTTAAGTTCCCATCACGGTGATCTGGCTCGATCTACCACATCAATGAGATAACTGACTTTAATCAAACACCGTCCCTCGTTGTTTGCTCACTGTTTCATGCCTTTCTAAATAGTACAAAACTGTACCATGCAGCTTGTACCAACTATATTGATTTTAGTACGAGTGGTGCCCCTGAATGTGCCTGCAGGCTGTGGGACGTTTGATCATACAAATAGTATGACCCTGACCCAGGTATTGGTCTACATTGACAAAGCCCTACAGTCACTGGTAGCATAAGCATGACCTCTTTAATGTGTCCATAAGTTTTACCCCCCCGCGCCTGCATACACTGTGGCTTTTAAATAAACTAACTTCTGAGTCATAAACCTCAACATCACAAAGTCAGCCCCTGTGCTCCTCAGCTGAGGGAAAACCCTCGGCATCATCAGCGGAGCTTACAAAGTGGATCATCTTGCAGGAGCTGAGACGGTCGTTGAGGCCCATCCAGCGCTGGTACTCTGGGTACTCCCCCCTGGTCAGGACATACTGGTAGCCCATGTAGTTGGGCCTCTCGTACACCACCCAGGCCCCGCTCTCCACCCGGATGGAGTTGCAGCGGCTCAGGTAGGTGTGGAAGTCAGAGCAGTCGCTGTCGCATTCATAGCGGCGGCCCTGGAAGTTCTTGTCCTCGTAGAAAACGATCTGGGGGAGAAAACACGGGAGTCTCAGCTCTCATCCAGATTTCACATGATCTGTGTTTGGTTCTCTTTCCTGGGTGGTTCATCTTAGAAAGGTCAAAGTGGTTGTGTTTGTCACTCACACTTTACAAAAAGCTTTTCTGACTTTGGAAAGCATCCTTTTGGCAATGTTTTCTCAACAGGTGGTGCAGCTTTAACTTCTAGCCATCAGGAAACTAGCCTGTCGAGTCAACAACCCAGAGACTCACCTGCAAACTAGGGCTGCAACTAGCGATTATTTTCATTATCATCATCAGTACATCAGTTTCTCAATCAATTTAGTTAGTCATTTGGTACATAAAATGTCAGAAAAATGTTGATCAGTATTCCCCAAAGCTCAAGGTGGCGTTCTCAAGTGTCTTGTTTTGCCCACAACCCAAAGATATCTAGTTCAGCAGGAAAAAAAATCACATTTTAGATCAGAGAATTTTGACTTTTCTCTTTAAAAGAATGTCTCAAAACAATAAATCGATTATCATAATAGTTGACTAATTGTCCTTCACTTGCAAACCAAGTTGAAATAGGTTCAAACTCCCCACAGAGAGGGTCATATACAGCCTTGTCCACTGCTTAAAGCCACACATTCAAACTTAGCATACATGCCACACTGATATCTGACTCTCAACTCACCCTGCCCATCCTGGATATAATGTGTGGTGTTAAGTGATGGTGGTTCCCCTGAGGTCTCGATGTTGCACTGGCCCCCTCATCGGTCCCTTTTATATCCCTGCTTTCCAACATTTATAAACAGCAACAGCAGAGGCGACAGGAGAACAATCGCTTTGTCATGAAAATGAGATCCAAAAATTGAGTCAGTGATTCTAGTGCTATTCAGTTTTTCCAGAAAAGCGAGGAAGGATTACGGCATAATGGCCAGGCATGGTAAGCGTCCATTGAACCCCACTTCTCTACTGGCTGGGTCCAGTGCCCAATCCCCCACCACTCACTCACCCCCACTCCAGCTCTCGCACCATGTTATACATGCCAGCTCCACCAGTTTGCTCCCACCTGGTGAGGACCTGCCAACTCATGACTTATCCCTGCCTTGTGGAAGAATCCAGATAGAGCAGTGTGCAGTGGGGAGAAGTATTCAGATCCTTTACTTAAGTAAAACTAGCAATACCGTATAGATATACTATCTATTATAAATACACTTCTTCCATCCAATATCTCACTGGAATAAAAGTACAGAAATATTATCAGCAAAATATATGTATGGGTCAAAAGAAGAAAAAAAAGGGCTCTGGTTGGTATATTCTTATATATTGTGATATATATTGCTATATTTAAGTGTGTTGGACTTAATGGCATCTAGTGGTGAATTTGCAGATTGCAACCAACTGAATAAAGCTCGTCTTTCAAGTGTGTAGGAGAAACTACAGTGGCTGCGGCTATTCACAGCCAGTGTTTTTTGTTTGTTTTTTTAGTGTGTCCGACTCAATGAAGAAAAGCATCCGCACACTCAAATCTGTGCAAAAATCTTACTTATTCTTCAAGGCAAAAACAGGCTGCAAGTGAATGCAGCAGTGCAGAGAGCATTACTTGATTAGCCTTAATGCAGAACAATCAGTTGAGCTTCTGTGGCTGGACATCAAGGGAACTGTAGTCCTGGGTATGATGGACTACAAGTTAAACAAAGTGTTGTTGTGCTGTGAATAATCTATGACAGACTATGTGCTATGTTTGATGATGGCTGAAACCTGGTGTGTACATAGCATCTATCGCTTTTGTTGCATATCGATGTACTTGTGTTTCTTGACTGTCTCTTGTAGTCCATCATTCCCAGGACTACAATTCCCTTGATGTCTAGCCACACATGTTCGACGGAGTGTTCTGCAGAAAGCTGACAGAATAACTAAGACGTTTGCACAGATTAGATCTGACACCAGATGAGCGATTTATTTTTCTGTGTGTAACATGAGTAACAGCCAGTGTTGGGCAGTAACTCATTATTAGTAACAATATTACAGTAATAATATTACGTTCCTCAGCAACTAGTAGTGTAACTAATTACTAATACACCCAAAAACGAATTACTAATACACCAAAAAATCATTAATTACAATATTACTTTTGTTGTCACAACATACTAATTTGAAATCCAACAATCCAATCACATCCTTGGATTCCTTTTTGTAATCATGGAGGAAATTAGTTTGGAAGATAGAATCACTGACATTCAGCAGCTGGAAATATTCCATTATTCAGATTTTTGTCGTAAGTCTGAATTTTGGGGAGAAAGGACACAAATACTGATTTGTGCGGAGCAGCAGAAAATGTATAGAACTAGTAGTGTAACTAATTACTGTTGGCAGGGAGTAATAACTAAAGTAATAATATTACTTTTGAAAAAATTAATGAACTTTTTTGAGTAACTATCCCAACACGTGTATAGTGTATATTATTTTAAATTATTTAAAAATAATTTAATACATTCTTGACACGCACCATTTTATTATATGAAACATATTTAGTTTGAATACAGTTTAAGTACATTCAAATCATTTCTACTATTGAAGTTTTGGAAGCTCAAATCCCCAAAATGTCAGGCGATGCAGCCGTTCGTACAAGTCAACACACTAAGAAATGTATTAAAAATCCTATTTTAATGGTAATAAGTTCAATAGTAAAATACCATTGCATGATTCTATGTTTGAAACCTTTCAAATAAACCAAATTTTACAAATACCAATCATTTTAAAGCTGTTTAGACAACTGAAAAACTTTAATCCAGCAGTTTGTATGTTATCAAATGTCAGGGTGGCATAACCTTACCATATTATTTTGAAGTCAACAGGTTGTAACCATTAACAGGATATTGCATCAACCAGACCCCAAGTGCCCTTTATGGCTGAGAGAAAAAGTTTGTAGATCTCTCTCAAATTGTGACAGAAATAGCTACTTTCAACTCATCGGTTGGCCGGTACCATGTCAGGTGGTACAACCAAGTTCACAATTTAAAATGTATACGTATGAACTTGTTAGCAAAGCCAAAACCTAACACAAGTGTCAAAGTGTTTAATTTGAAATGAGTTGCAAAAGTCAGTGGTGCAACTGCAGACTGTCACTGTGTGATCTGTAGTGGCAAACACATGTAGTGGGGTAACAAGTATTTCCTTGTGAAATGTAACAGAGCATGAAGTGGCTTCAAATGGGAATATTAAAGTAAAATACACAAATAAGTCATGGTTTTACTAAAGTGTAGTAAGTTGTGCTAGTCACATTCCACAACTGTCAGTGTTGCATAACCACAGTTACAACAAATAGTAGTCTGTATTATGATTGGAATTCATGCCTTTCAGTGTAAAGTTGATGTGTCCAAGGGTAAAGACAGAATATCTGAATATCCAAAACAATAAGCAAGAGCTTTATAGTCAAAACCTTTAATTCATTTGAATTTTTTTAATAATCCATACAAACTATATTGTGCTCTTCATATGGTAGCTGCATAGAGGTGCATGTGTTCAGATCAGAAGGTATGTTTTTCCAAGTAAACAACAGCAGTAAGACATTTTACAGTGTAATCAGTAATAAGGCTACGTTCACACTGCTCGCACAAGTAACACAAATCAGTTTTTTTGCTCATGTGTGACTCAGATCTGTTCTTTCATGACAGTGTGAACGGCACAAATCACATGGAATCTGATCTTTTCAATTCTGATTCAGGTCACTTTCATATGTGGTCCAAATCAGATACAGGTCGGATTTTTAGCAAAGTGATTCATGTAACTTTTATGTCACTCTAGATTGAAGAATGTGGGCCACACTTAACAAATAATGTCAACAGCCAAACAAAAGAAATCTGAACTGAGTTTTAAGGCTTGCAGTGTGAAAGTAGCCTTACACCTTGAAAATGAAGAGACACATCCCAGCATATTGAAAGCTTTTACAGTAAGTTCATCTTCCCTTAACTTCCTAAAACCAATAAATGCTGCCCTGAAGACACGTGCAGCGGTTCTGTTGTATGTAATGTATATCCCCGTCTGTGAAAATATAGCACGCTGTAATGAGTCTGAAGTACACTTTGGAGGTATTCAATTCTAAAAATTGTAATGGAGAAAAATAATCTTCATATAATTATACATATTCATACAGGTGAGTTCATACAAAAACAGAAATACATTTAGGCAACATCTGGCCACAAACTCACCAAAAGTTTGTTAAATTTGACCTTGTTTGGCACCTCAGCAAATCAGCTCTTTCGGCTGTAATGAAGAAATTAAAGGATAAGTGCAATATTAATTGTTGCTACACTCATGTTGACTCACTGTCAGAGCAGATATTTCACTTTGACAGCTAGTAAAAAACACATACAGTGATAACAATAATTGGGGAGAGGCAAAACAAACAACATGCATTAAGAGACAGCCCGTGGAGAGGGGCGTAGCAACAGGTACTGCTGCCCCCTTATAAAATGTGACAGGTAAGCTTGAGCGGTGCAATCACACACCTACAATAAATGATGTCCTTCCTTTTCTTCCTAATGGAAAACGCTTGATTGCTATTTTTTAAACATTAGGAATTCTATAACCTGAGCAAGTAACTGTAGGTGTACTAACATGTCCTTAATACCCAAAGTGCTCAATTGATCAACTACACTGTCCATCTTTAGATGCATGTGTCAGCATCGCTTACTGAGAATATACTTTTTAAAAATAGCGTGTAGTTTACATATGTGGGAAGAAATGGTACTCCATACTTTATGGGGATCACGGTTTTCTGAGCCAGTCTCCATGTTTAATATTTTTCGCAAGAACGTAAGCAGATTGTAGCCCTCAAACTGCATATCTTAATGTAGGTTTTAGAAATTATTATTACATTGAAGAGCTATTTAGGCTTCAAGAGAACACTGACACTTTTCTTCTTCTACTTTTATTCAACTTCATTTGTATTTCCTGTCTCCAAAAGATGACATTCGGCAGTAAACCCAAATCCAAGCTTTTTTTGTCCCTTTAAAACCCTGTGGTTACTTCACAATGCTACACCCGTGTCAAGTCAAAAGAGCAGTGTTTGGGATGTCGTTTTACAACATACCAATCCACTCCCTCCTCGGCTAAGACAGGTTAATGACTTAGCCTTCTCTTAAGAAGGACCAGTAAAGCAGCCTGTACTGGCCTTCCACTCAAGAATGAGTGGGACATAAGTTGCTATAAATGCTGCATCAACAGCTCTAGACTGGCTAGAGTAAGGTGTAAATAACCACAAACATACCGCACAATAATACTTCCAGCAATCAAACTCGTCTGTTCGTTAAGAACTAACAGGAGTTTCAAAGGTCAGTATGACCATAAGTTACCTGTATGTGTGCACTGTCACACTACGTTCATTTACGAGCACAATCATCCCGCTGGCTAACAAGTGTAAGCCAACAATTCAACAAGCCATAGGTGACTTTCCAACTGTCCGTCCAGTCCTCATATGTTTGCTATCGTTAACTTGGGGCCTGTCTGTTGCAGGACCATCAGTAGAGTCCTTTAAGGAGGCTATTGTGGGTGGGATAAGGCTGTCGAGTTCCTGCCTGTGCCCCGTTTCCAGAAGCCACTCATGGAACTTGACCTCCACCAGCTCCTGGAACTGCCGCTTCTGCTCCCTGGAGAACACAGACATGAGAAATCAGTTAGAACAGAAACAGTACAGAGGCGGGATGTGGATGAGATTAGTGTTAAAGCACTGTAATGTAGAAATCAATCTACGATGAGTTCCCTGTGCTGTCAGGGTCAGGTAGAGAGTAGAGCCCCCTCGAGCAAGTTTT